AACTTACTTTTTTAATCTTTTCAAATTAGCCAACTAGTCGTTATAATTAGGATTGGAGGTAGTATTAAGCACATGATTTTCTCCAGGGGCAAACGTTAAATGTCTATTACGTTGCCAACGTGTCACCAATCAAATTTCATAATCACGAAAAGTCAGCCAAGATTTTAGTTGGGTAATGTGAGGGAGCACACAAAGTGAAATTTCCCCGAATGACATTTATCTTGAGCCTTAGGCTTTGTTTGGTTTAACGGAACGGAGGGGAGGGGAGGTTAATTAAAGGAAAGGAAGAGGAGGGGAAGGAAGGTCATGGTTTTGTTTGGTTGGAGGGGAGGAGAGGAGAGAGAAGATTTCTTGTTTGGTTCAAGAAGAGGGGAGGAAAGGTAATTATAAATTGACAAATATGCCCATATCTCTATATTTAGACTGATTTATTTTTTTATTACAATATTTATATCAAAATTATTATTTTTTAATTTATCAATTTAAAAAAATACCAATTACCTCACTTACATGTGATAAAAAAATAATAAAACTAAAAAAAATTAAAAAATATGATAAAAAATTTAATATTCTATCTCATTAATTTTATAAATATATGTATTAATATATATATGTATATATTATATAATTATAACACGTACGTTATGATATGTATATATTAATATATATGCATGCTATTTGAGATTATAATACACACGCTATGATATATAATTATAATACACACATGTTATGATATGTAAAAATTAATATATATGATATGTATATATTATAATATTATAATTATCAAATATTATTAGTGGCTAAAAAGAGAAAGAAGTGAAAAAAAGATTTTTAATAAGATAGACAACCTTAGAATATTGAAAAGTTAGTATGAGTAATTTGGTTAATGTTAGACATAATATTTCTTTCCCTTCCAAAAAAACCCTAAATTTGGAGGAGAGTATGGGGAGGGGAGGGGAGCACTAAAAGACAAATTTCTTCCCTCCCCTCCCATATATTTTTCCCAACCAAACACACTTATCACTTTCCCTCCCCTCACCTCACAAACCCTCTAACCAAACATAGTCTTAAGAAATGGACCCGTAAGAGTGGGCCAGTATGCGTTTGAATCTAAAATCTGGGATACGATACGAAGAATGTGGAAAATGAGGGTGTGATTCTGTCATGGATTCGCTCGCCATTTTGTTAGCACATGATTTATTATCATTGGGCATGAGGATGAATGATATATCTTTTATAGCATCTGAAATTTAGATGATAATTAAATTACTTAATCTCAAGAATCTTCATAAAAATTTGGATTTCAAAGTAAGAATATGAATATTTTGTGGTATTAATATTTTCTATTTATTTAAAATCAATTATTAAAACTTTCACAAAGTTGATTTTCAGACGGTCTAATTTAAGATACGCAATTGATGATATTTTGGAAACAATTTTGGATTATAATATTTTTCTTTTTCTCCAAATAGAGCTTTACTGTTAATTTCTATTTTTGCAAATTCTTATCTAATTTCTGGAGAAGTAAGGTTATAAAATTTTGATAAAGAAAAATTGTAAGATACCACCTCTACTATTTAATATAAAGCATCGTTTGACTTATCTAATTTCTCCAAATAGAGCTTTACTGTTAATTTATATTTTAAATATAAGATCCCAATTCACTTTATCTCTCATATTTATGTATTTCTTTTCAAGAAAATCTTCTAATAATGGTAATTCTAACCAATATACTTGATAAGTAAGGATATTTTAGAAAAGATAATACTTATTTGTTACAAATAAATAATTTAATTTATTTTCTTAATTTACTTAAATTAGTCAACTAGCTCTTATATTTAGAACTAACCTCTTATTTGGATAGAGAGAAAATGATGGAGGAAAGAAAATTAGAGGGGAAAATGAAGAGATAAATGAGTTTTTCCTGAACGAGGAGAGAAAAGCGGGAGGAAAGAAAAATAGGAGAGAAAATAGGCTATGGGGCTCATGTAATTTTCTCTCCAACTTTTCTCTCCACATATGGAGAGAAAATAAAAAGAAAACTTATATTTCTCATATATCCTCCTTTATACTAGGTACATAAATGCATGTTTTGCCTTTAATGTAATTTTTTAATTTTATTTATGACTATTTTATTATTTAGCAAAATCATCTTACTATAGCCAAATTTTATAATAAATTTTTATTATTTAATAATAATTTTAAATAAGATATTTATTTATTTTCTTTTATTATATTTAATTTAAAAAAGCATCCACTTTTTTTATTTTTTTAATTAAAAATAACATTTTTTACTAAACTATTTGATTTTTAAATATACTCTTCTGATCCTATTTATAAGAAACTTCCAGCATATTTCATACAGACAAGAAAAATCTCAAAATACAAGTGAAATTTGAATATTTACAACAAAAGTTTATAGATTTGCAAGTGAAATTCGATAATTTACAAGTGAAATTCGATAATTTTATTTGTTCATTTGCACTTAAACGCTTGCATTTGGGATTATAATTCCATTATGTTATTTGTAAATTGTCTAATTTTTGTTGCAAATTGCTGAATTTTACTTGTAAATCATCGAATTTCATTTCTTTACTTGCACTCAAACACTTACATGTTAGGTTGTGAATTCTTTTGTGTTTGCCAAATTTGGGTTGTAAATCCATAAACTTGTATTGTAAATCTTCAAATTTCACTTGCTCATTTGTACTTAAGTACTTGTATTTGGGGTTATGAATTTCATTATGTTATTTGTAAATTATCTAATTTTTATTGTAAATTGCTGAATTCTACTTATAAATCGTCGAATTTCATTTGTTTACTTATATTTGGATAGTTGTGTTTATTTTGTTATATATATATTTTTATTTGCATCACATAATTGAATGGTTTTCTTGGCTTGGTGGTTGCAACATTTTTGGTGTGCCAAGGGATTATGGGTTCAAATCCTTCCTTGACTACCTTGTTTTAAACCAAAAAATAAAAAATCCGGCCACCGGAATTACAGTAACGGCCACAGGAGTTCCAACCTCCGGCAGCGGCCACCTGAGTGCCAGTGATTAGACCTCCAACCTCTAGTGGCCAGAACAGTGACGTCCATTAATATTTATTTTTTAATAAAATAAAAAGGAGAGATATTATTGTAATTTGACTCTAAATTTTAATTTCAATTTGGTCCTTTAGTCCTATATTTTAGAATGTTTTGGGGGTTGACTGACATAAATTCTCTTCTACAGTTCTTAACTGAAATTTTTCCAAATTTCTAACTATAAAAAATTGAGCTGTGCTTTTTCCCTCTTGTTTAATGACAGTATTGTCTATTATATTCATTCATTAGAAATCACGAGTTCTTAAAGCTTTTTATTATAAATTTTGTTAAATTTAGATCCTTTAAATGTTAAGGCAGTGGGTCCAAAGATCTACTAAGAGATTGAGAAATACTGTTTGTGACTCATACATAATATGACTTCTTCCAAGATTTTAGATTATACATGGAATATGGATATGGATTTTCCCAAAAAAACAAAAAAAAACCCACTGGTGATATAGTATGGATGGTACGTACAGAAGTGGCCCCTAATATACGGAGCATCAATTAAAACTATTCACGCATAATACACCATATCTCTCTTAACTTGAATTTATAGAAGGATTACAAAAGCATACATATTTCATAATAATTAAGGACTTGAATATAAATTCCAAAGGCAACTAACTAGCCACTTTTATTCCATACATTACACGCTTTTGACATCCTGGTAACTCCACCTTCAAGCCAAGTTAGCCACGCAGAGTCTTCATTAACCTGAAAAGGGAAAAATCAAAGCACATCTTTAATCAACCCCACTAAACAAGATGCATTGAAGGCACATCAAACCCCAAATTCAGATGTAAAAGAGAGGTCCATTACAACCAGAAATTCTTTGTGCAATGAGTAAAATTAAGATGGTAAAACCAAAATTATTATACTTATTTGATCCTTGATGTAAGACCTAATTAATTAATTTTAATAAATTAAGGATATTAGTTAAATCAGTACCCTAAGTATCTTCCTTAATTACCCCCTCCCTCTCCTCCTTAATTATTGTTAAGGAAATATTAACAGGGTTAATTCAGAAAAAAAAATTAATAAATATGTGAAATAGGTTTCACATATAGGACCAATATCAACTTTCCAATTAAATCCTATCTTAAGGGCCAGAGCAGTGCTTGACATAGGAAAATCAAACAAAGGAAAGCAATGAAATGCAAAAATCATGACATAAGGACATTAGAGCTAATATTGCTTAAAGCAAAATCATACAGGTCATGTTATTGAACAGCAGAAAAACATTCAAAGGTATGGGTGATTAAGAGCATGTAATGAGGCTTTCAATTTGAAGGAGGTGTAAAACATATTGTCCAATTTATCTTCATCAAAAGGATTAATCTTTAGGCGTAGACACTAATTTATCCCGTAAGCTGTTCCTTTTTCGCAATCTTAAGGCCATGCCAAGATCGAGTTCTAGGCTTATGCCTACTTTAGCACAGCAAGAACAGCAAAATAGTTTGCCTATTTTAAATATGTTATGCAAGTTCCATAAAGATGCAACAGATAGGTGTATGTTAGCGATCTAATCCTACTCCCTTGTTCTTAATGGAGCAAAGGCATAATAAATGACAAGGTTATTCTTCTCGATGTCATGAACATCCAAGTCTTCTGTATGAGGACAGAGTTCTGCTTTCACGACTTTTTATAGTGAAAGGCATGATTTTGGTTTGTTCCATTAGAATAACAGTTCCATTAATTAAAAAAAATAGCAAATTCCATAGCCTTTCGTTCTTTAAAAATTTCTTCAAACGCTAGTTATCAGAGGGTTACAAATATTGAAAACAACAAGAAATGGTTCCCTCAGAATACAAACATGAATAATAGCAAACATTTCAAGCTTTAAATCCAACCAAAGCACAGTGTGCAGTGCAGTCAAATACCTAGCTAGAAGACTCAGCAGGGGCATCACCAACGAGCTTAAACTCCTGAACTTCCTTAAAGTTCAGCCATGGCTTAACCCAAATTTTGGCTTCATAAACCTTTTTCTTCCCACCATCGCTTGCCACCAGCGTGATGTAGTACATGGTGCCAGCAACCACCTGCTCTTTTGCACTTATCACCTTTTGAAACTCCAGAAGAGCATTCTGCAATAGAATAAGACTAACAACATAAAGGGAGAATATTCCACCTACGTGATCTTTTATTCCAATTGTGAAATGTAGAACGGAGAATCCCAATTGTGCTACTAGAAATATGAACCAACAATATAAATATCTTCAATCAGACAAATTGGATAATACAAGAGTAATCTGGATTCAGAAATTTGATTCAAACAAGAACTTAACACCATCAAATCCACGCCGAGACAGATAATCAACGGCCAACCCAGTTCTAAAATAACTCCCTATTTCAGTTTCCTCCTCGAATTTCAGTAAGGGAAAACCCAATCGGGAAGAGGAGGAGGAGGAGGAGTAACAATAATAATTAGATTAATAACGAACCTCCTTTTTGTTGTAGCCTTCAACAGCAAAGCGAGCAAGACTTTCGATCTCAAGGCTGTTCTGGCTGCCTGGAACGTCCTGAATACCACCGGTTATTGCCGCCATTTCTCTCCTCGCTCTATCTCCCTTTCGTTTTGATTCGATTTCAATTCAATACGCAGAGTGGATTTAGTTTTCTGATTTCCCCTTGTTATATAGTAGCGACAGTACAATCAATCGCGTGGCAGTGGTCAACGTTGGCGCGTTGGATGGGATCGTGTGAGGCGGAAATATTATAGTCCCAGCGTGTGACCAATCAAATTTCAGAGTCAGAATTGTCAGTCGAACAGTAACCGTTGACTTTAGTGGGGTAATGTGAGGGAGCACGCAAGGTGAAATTTCCCAGCTGGATATTTTATCTTAGTCCTTAAGAAATGGACACGTAAGAGTGGGCCAGCATACTTTTGAAATCTAAAATCTGTGGATGCGGAGAATGTGGAAGGTGAGGGGATGATTCCGTGATGGATTCACTTGTCATTTTGTTGGCACGTGCTATATTATTATTGGGCACGAGGATAAACGGTTGGAAATTAGAACAAAAGAGGTGGGAATTTGCAAATTTTTTTGTTAGTATAATCTTTTTTTTCTTAAGGTTGTCTTTATTTTGATTTTAATTTTTTAAGAATAAAATAGTTAAAATTTTTATTGAATTATACGAATCAATATTTTAAATAAAAAAAATTGAGAAACCAAAATACATTGTTTAAAATTTGAGAAATCAAAACCAAAATAAGAATAAATTTAAAAAACCAAAAGTTGTACTAACCTTTTTTTTTAAAAAAAATTATGAATAAGGCAACATGAGATCAATACAAAGATGATTTCAAAATACTAAATTCATCATTCCAAGATAAGGATGATATTTTCTGGCAAAAACGCCAAGGATGATATTTGGATTGCGTGAAAAAAAAATGTCTTAAATAAAATTTTGTGTTCATGCTTTATGAATTGAAAAAAAAAATTAAAAACGACAGAGTAATTCTATATCTAAAGTCCAACAATATTGAAATCTTTTGGTCAAATAAGACAATATTAAAGTATGAAATAATAATCTCTAAGTTTCTATTTGTGAGATACTCCTCCGGTCCTTAATATAAAACCCAATTAGAAGGTTGATCTTGGTCCTAAATATAGGACCCCTTTCTCATATTTTTTATTCTTTCCTAAATTACCCCTATTAGATAATTAAATACCACAATAATACTCATTATTCATTAATAATACACCTATAAATTTTATAAAGTGAATGAATACTTATTACTTATTGATTCCACACATATATCAATTCTATCTTTTTATATTTTTAATAAAATAATTTAAACATTTAAAAAAATATTTTCATACAAATACCCCATTCAAGGTAATTGGATTTTTTTACCTCCAAGGAATAGCATAGTAATAATCATACTATCTATTTTCTTTGTGCCCAGAAAATATAATCTTCTATTTATATTTTACCCAATCAAACAGAAAAGTTCCTGCCCGAAGAAAAAAAATTAGTTCTTTTTTCTTATAAACAGGAAAATTAAAAACAAATAAAGAAACAGAAACAAAACATTGAATTAAGTTACACCCTCTTACTAACCCCAAAAAAAATTAATTCTACACATTTACCATTCATTTTAAATCTACAAACTAGCATCTCATTATGGTTAAAAAAAATCATTTTGAGTCTATAAAAATTTCATTTAAAAAAATTTATAAACTAGCATCAAACATATAAAAGATAATTATGTAGGCTGTGTGAATTTGTAAATCCCAAAAACAAAGATGACTATAATATGGTGGATTTCATTCGATCAAATGCTAAAATAGTGTTCCTATACATATGAAGCTTATCCTAGCTTTCCATGGTGGTATCAAAAGTTGAAATAGTAGTGGAAAAACATCAACAAATGCCTTAGCAATCCTGAGCTTTATTTATCTTTTGCATTTACTAATCAATTTATAACATGTTGCTATATCAAGCAATGAAGAATAAATCTTCAAGTCTTCAAAAACAGATAAAATGAAGCCTCATTTCTTCAATCTCAGCAAGGTGGTAGGTTTGCATCAGTTAGTGAACGAAGCCAAAGACTAATCTGCCACATCGAGTCATCCAATGTTGCCACAGCTATAAATTATCCAATGCACAAAAGTTAAGTACCATAGACACTGTGGGAATCCCGGAAATCATGGGATTTAAGAAAACATTATTCCAGCCTTAATGAATGATTTGTAGACGTTAGAGTTAGTCAACTATAGGATTAATTATTGTTTATTAGTTGATTATTTCCCTGTATAGTTCCGGTTAGTCCTATAAATCCTTGTAAATATATACAGATTATACACAATGAATATACATAGCATATTTTTCAGAATAGCTCTCATGGTATCAGAGCTTTCATGGGTGTTCAGCACCGCTTAGCTTCTGCGCGATCATCATGTCTCAATCGCTTGAGACAGACGAGTCGACCAAGTCGACTTTGGAGCCTGAGAGCTCCACAACCTTACGTCCACCACATTTCGAAGGAAATTCGGTTCTAATAATACCAGAGAAACTCACCGGTGATAATTACCATGAATGGGCACAATCCATAAAGCTCGCCGTTGAAGGACGTGGCAAGATAGGCTACCTCACCGGTGATGTTCGCTGCCCCTCACCCACCGACGCTAATGCACTACTCCTCTGGAAGATGGAGAACTCGATGGTCTCCTCGTGGCTCATCAACACCATAGTACCAGCAATTAAACGAAGCTTCATGTTCTTGCCCACCGCGTTCGATATCTGGACAGCAGTTCGGGAGGCATACTCTGATGGTGAAAACGGGTCCCAAATCTTCGAACTAAAGACCAAGCTATGGCAGCTTAAGCAAGGTAACGGACCCCTCAATGATTATTATCTAACAATGTCGGCTCTCTGGCAGGAACTAGACCTTTACAGCACCGACTCCTAGCATTGTGCAACTGACGCCGCTCTCTACCAGAAAAACGTTGAGAAAAAATGACTTCTTGAATTTCTTACCGGCGTCAACCTTGATCTTGATGCTGTTCGCAGTCACTTCCTTAGCCGCGTACCGTTACCCACAGTCCGAGAGGCCTTCGCAGAGGTCCAACGAGAAGATGCTCGTCGATGAGTTATGATGCCAGCGTTGGGACCCCCGGTATCTTCCCCATCGGCTCCAGATTCCTTTGCTTTGGTTTCCCGTAACATAGAAGGCAAAAATCAGAAGCCCAAGCCCCCGTGTGACCATTGTAAGAAAACTGGACACACTAAAGATACATGCTGGGACTTACATGGAAAACCAGCTGACTGGAAACCAAGGCGTGGCAGAGGGCGTGGATATCTTGCTGGCACCGAAAAGGGAACAGACCAACACAACGCCAATGATCAAATCTCAAAATTGATCGACCTCCTCAGTTCTCTTCCATCACCTAATCAACCCTCAAAAACTCAACCAACAGCTACCGTGGTTAGAGGTAATTTCCTACATGCTTTGAATACCATTCAAAGCAAATGCAAGGGTAGGTGTTGGATAATTGATTCTGGTGCCTCTGATCATATGAATGATGATCAAAATTTATTTCTTTCTTATACTCCATGTGATGCTCTCTCCGGGTAAAAATTGCTAATGCATCCTTATCTACTATTGCTGGCATTGGAGACATTCGTATCTCTAAAAACCTTATACTTCACTCTGTTCTTCATGTACCTAAATTAAAATGCAACCTGATATCTGTGCACAAAATTACACAAGATGAAAAATGCCATGCTGATTTTTATGACTCTTACTGCTTATTCCAGGATTTATCAACAGGGAGGATGATTGGGAGTGCTAAAGAATTTGATGGCCTATACTACTTTGATAACACCTCAATTTCCAACACCAGTGTCTGTAATAAAACCTCCCTCCCAAGAGACAATGATATCTATCTTTGGCATAAACGTCTCGGTCACCCTAGTTTTCAATATCTCTTCAAACTATTTCCATTTAGTTTTCCTAATAAAAATGTTTCTGAACTTCATTGTGATATTTGTGAACTTGCTAAGCATCATCGTGTTAATTTTCCTCGAAATACTTATCAACCCTCTGCACCTTTTACTACTATTCATAGTGATTTGTGGGGCCCTAGCCGCATTACTAATCGCATATGACTTTTATTGATGACCACACCCGAGTATGTTGGACATATTTGCTTAAAGAAAAGACTAAAGAAAAGACTGATGCTTATTTTGTTTTCACAGCATTTTACCAAATGATCAAAACCCAATTTAACACCTCCATCAAAATCTTTCACACCGATAATGGTACTGAATACATTAACCACAAATTCACTCAGTTCTTCCAAACAAAGGGGATTATCCACAAAAGTTCATGTCCTCACACCCCCCAACAAAATGGAATAGCTGAACGAAAGAACCGACATATTCTTGAAATTGCTCGTGCCCTCCTATTCACTAATAATGTTCCTAAATTTTATTGGGGTGATGCTATTCTCACTGCAACCTTCCTAATAAACAGAATGCCCAGCAAACTACTATCGTTTCAAACTCCTCTTGAAGTACTTCACAAAACTCATCATGTCCCTTACCTAGAAAACAACCTACCCCTAAAAATCTTTGGTTGCACTGTCTTTGTCCACCTTCATCACCAAGGCAAACTTGACCCTCGAGCTGTTAAATGCATCTTCCTTGGGTATTCAGCTTCTCACAAGGGATACAAATCCTATAACCCCATTACTAAACGCCTATATGTTAGCTGTGATGTTACCTTCAATGAATCTGAGTCCTTTTATTCCCAGCCTTCAATTCAGGGGGAGAATTGGGAAGAATTGAAGACCTCCCAAACAGATTCTGCCTTAGATGATCTTTCTTACACCCAAACAAATTCTGCTTTAGATGATCTTCCTTACACAGAATATGACCCCCCTTTCACCCTTGACACTAACAAACATCCTACTGAGGGGGAGAACAAAAATGAAACGAACAAACAGAAACAGAAAAACTTCAACAAAGTTTACAAAAGAAAAAACAGAAATGTACCCAGGCCAACAATTCTCAGTGTACCTCATGAACCTGAGCTGATGATTGATCCTGAAACTGAGGGAACTAATGCTGTTAACTCTAATGATGAGACAGGAAACACAGGTGAAGTTGAACCTGACTTAGACCTCCCAATTGCACTGAGAAAGAAACCATGAAGCTGCACACAACATCCTATTGAGAATCACATCTCATACAAAGCTCTATCTCCCTGGTACTTGGCCTTCACTATTAACCTGGACGATATAAAGGTTCCAAACTGTATTGAGGAGGCTCTCAAATCTTCAAACTGGAAGAAGGTAGTTTTAGAAGAAATGGATGCACTAAAAAGAAATGGCATATGGGAGGAAGTAGCTCTACCGAAAGGAAAGAAGGCAGTAGGATGTAAATGGGTGTTCACAGTAAAGTATAAAGCTGATGGAACCATAGACAAATACAAAGCGAGACTTGTAGCAAAAGGTTTCTCTCAAATCTACAGCACAGATTATACAGAGACGTTTGCCCCAGTAGCTAAGCTCAACACTGTAAGGATCCTAATGTCTCTTGCAGCAAATCTAGACTAGCCTATCTATCAACTTGATGTAAAAAATGCATTTCTTAATGGAGACCTGAAAGAAGAAGTATACATGGTGCCACCTCCTGGTTTCCCAACCAAGAAGCCTAAAATGGTGTGCAAATTAAAGAAATCTCTCTATGGGCTGAAACAATTGCCTCGTGCTTGGTTTGAGCGTCTCACACGAGTCCTCAAGACAGAAGGATACAGTCAAGGACAAAGTGATCACACACTCTTCTTCAAGCACCAAGGAGTCAATAAAACCATCCTAAGTGTCTATGTAAACGACATAATACTCACTGGAGATGACCTTGAAGAAATGGACCTGATTAAGATAGCAATGGCAACAGAATTTCAGGTGAAAGACCTTGGAGAAATGAAGTACTTTCTCGGAATGGAAGTAGCAAGATCCAAGAGAGGAATCTACATCTCCCAGAGAAAATATGTAGTAGATCTCCTTAAAGAAACAGGGATGTTAGGTTGCAAACCTAGCTCCACACCAATGGAAGTAACAGCAAAACGAAAGAAAAAGAAGAGGGATGATAACAAGGAAAAAGAGGAAGAAAGCGACGAAGAAGAAGAAGAAGAGGAGGAGGCAAATTTAGGAAAAGATGTGGACAAGGGCCAGTATCAAAGACTGGTTGGAAAACTAATTTATCTCTCGCACACAAGACCTGACATTGTATTTGCAGTAAGTGTAGCCAGTCAACACTCTCAAGCACTGAAGGAGAAACATCTCAAAGCTGTATACAAAATCCTGAAGTATCTAAAAGGCACTCCAGGAAAAGGCATATTGTACAAAAGGTCTGAAAAGACAGATATAGAAATCTTTATTGATGCAGATTACGCAGGAGATCACGAAGACAGAAGATCTACATCTGGCCACTGTACATATGTATGGGGAAATCTTGTCACTAGGAGAAGCAAGAAACAGAATGTGGTTTCAAGAAGTAGTGCAGAATCAAAATATAGAGCTGTTGCTCATGGGATATGTGAACTAATTTAGGTCAAGAGAGTCATGGAGGAACTAAGAATTGATCTGAAATTTCCAATGAACTTATACACTGACAGTATGGCAGCAATCAACCTTTCTCATATTCCTATCCAACATGACAGAACAAAACATGTTGAAGTTGATAAACACTTCATTAGAGAAAAGCTGGACAGAGGACTGGTAAAGCTAATACATGTGCCCACTGGAAGGCAAACAGTAGACATCTTTACTAAGGGCCTACATAAGGAAGTGTTTGAAAATTTTGTGCGCAAGTTGGATATGATCGATATCTATAATCCAACTTAAGGGGGAGTGTGGGAATCCCGGAAATCATGGGATTTAAGAAAACATTATTCCAGCCTTAATGAATGATTTGTAGTCGTTAGAGTTAGTCAACTATAGGATTAATTACTGTTTATTAGTTGATTATTTCCCTGTATAGTTCCGATTAGTCCTATAAATCCTTGTAAATATATACAGATTATACACAGTGAATATACATAGCATATTTTTCAGAATAGCTCTCAGACACATATTAACCAAAAGAACCAGGAAAAAAAAAAAAGAACTCAGAGAAAGGAAAAATTACCTCAAGTACTCCATCACGTCTTGTACTAGCTTTGGATCGCACTTGATTTGATTGGGCAGTGGACCTTCCTTTTCCATGACTTCTTTTCTTATATATGGAAGATCATATTTATTAGATCCTCTGACCTTCATGATTTCTACCATGCAACATTGAAGTGTTAAGAATATTTTGTTAGACTTAACAACTGAAAATGATTCAAATGATTTAACCACCGCCGCAATTAAATCATCAACTGTCTTTGGTGCTTCCTTGTACTGTAAAGATTGTATGCCATTAAAGAAACCAAGATCTAGAATATTCAAGTCAGGAGAATTTGGAGGTTAGTTTATCAAGCAGATAGTAAACCCATCTTCTGTGGCAACTCGACAGAATTCACTGTCATCTGGATCGATGTGACATCTTGCGTTGTCCTACTGCATATATATCGGTTCCCCTATCGAATCTCTTGGCCACTTTTCTTTTATAGCAGGAATAACATGCTTAATAAGAAACCGTCTACTAACTTCTTTGGTAATTGAAGCTATGGGTTTTGTTACAAGGGAACCTGCACGTCTATTAACACTGTTCCTCTTTGTCGGCTCTTGTCTCACTAAAGGAAAGACTCCAATTTTCCCAGAGAAAATTTCATTACCTTCAGAATCAGACCTAGGACAAGCAACAGCAACCAAGAACATGATCTTTCCAATAAATTGTTTGTTCTTCACAGTACGCAATGGCTCTTCTTCTCCCGGTAGCATGTAATAGTTTACAGTGTTTTTAGTCATATAAAACCATTTCTCATCAACATGAACCATATTGTGCATGCTTTTAAAAGTTAGATCTCCTAGCATTGAACCACTTTCTATCATGCTTAAGCAAAACCATAATCGAGTAATCATATTCTCTCCCTTCAAAAATGGCTTAATGGCATTAGCATGATGCTCAATAGCTCCCTCCTTTTTAAGCCTAATTAGTGAGGTCTTGTTTATATTCAAGGCAAATGATAAATCTCGCAAGGTAGTCCTCCTAGCCAAAGGAACTCGAAGAAACTGATCAAGGTCAAGTTCAACCTTCTTGTGACCACAATTTTGTGTTCTATTATGACACACTTCATCCCCAACCTTTGTCTTTCACCAAATGCGTTTAATGACACTATTGGATACAGAATACATTGACGCAATCTTTTTCCTAGCCCCTTTAATTAGTCTCCCACCTTTACTATGCTGTAATAGGAGATGGGAGATGGCTTTACGGTCTTCATTACTCAAAAACTTACGTTGGTCACCTAAATTGAATAAAAAAAAATCACAGTTGAAGTCAAACGAACCAAGTCTGATATGAAGCAAAATGAAAAGGAGAAAAATATAAAGCTCACTTCTACTTTAGTTATTTAAAGAGGTTTCAAATCCAGAGTAGTCATAGGTCATAAAATTCTGGAAGCAAATCAATAGGCACACAATACTCTGTATATATCAATCCAGGCACACAATATTACGGTGGCGTGGGTTTCTTCAAATTAGAATGATTCGGGTCACAAAATAAGCATCATTAGGTTCAAGACTGGTAGTACCGGTACTAATATAATAGCGCCAAATTTTTGAAGTTCTAAGTAAAGATTATGATCATTAAAGTGGGCTCAACCAAGTTTTTACAACTAACCTCATGATTACCACTTAAAGGCAGAACAGAGCCTGTGTTTCAATGTAACTTAGTATCTAAATCAAAGGGGCAATACATACAGAGTATTGTGTGCCTATTGATTTGCTTCTAGATACATATACTCAGAATTATAGCAACCTCTAGATACATATACTCAGAATTATATATGGAACTAAAACTTTTGATTAGCACAAGGAGTCCCTGCCTCAGAATTATATACTCAGAATTCAAACTTTTGGTTGAACCATATCACTATATCAGAGAAAAGTATATGTCCAGGAAATAATTGTATACGCAGGAAATACAAGAAAAAAAATGCTCCAAGTATGCCAATGTAATGTCAACATAAAGGTATACTCAGGTACCATTAGTTTCAGATGCATAAATGTGTTCCTCTTCTATTTGTTGTTCAACATCATATTCATTGTCCAAAATTTCTCCCAAATAAACTTCGTCCACTCCCTGAAAGTCACTAGGCAGTTTATTCAGGTCCAAGAGAAACTCACCTGAATGTGATAAGGAAAAAAATTATTCAGGTCCAAGAGTAATAACCAAACGATTAGAAATCAAATTAGTAATTTATCAGATTCCTAGAATGTTCTTAATCTTTCATTAGGATAACAATAAGCTCTGAAGTCCTGAAAGCATATTAATACCATCATCTGCGCCAATTTCATCACTGTTCAAGTCCAAGTTCAACGGCATTGAGTCAGATTGATTCTCAACAGTGGCCACTTACAGCAAGCAAAATCTAAAATCCAGAGAAGCAACACTGATGAACTAAGCAAGCAAAACTAAAATCGATTTCATACCAAGTTAATACCAAGTTTCGTTTCACACTAATCAGAAATGTGGACACTAATCCAAAGAAACAACATCAACGATTAAGCAAGCAAAACTGAAATCGATAAACATCTAAAATCCAGAAAAACAACATCAACGATTAAGCAAGCAAAACTGAAATCGATAAAAATCTAAAATCCAGAGAAACAACATTGACGAACGAAGCAAGCAAAACCGAAATCTGACGGAAATCCAAAATCCAGAGACAAAGGAAGCAAGCAAAACCGAAATCTGACAGAAATTCAAAATCCAGAGACGAACGAAGCAAGCAAAACCGAAATCTGACCGAAATCCAAAATCCAGAGACAACATTGACCGCAAGCAAAACTGAAATCGACGGAAAATACGAAATCAAGAGAAACGATATGGACAAACCAAGCAGTTGATGAGTGAGACCGACAACTCGAACGGTGCGTGAGCTAGGAGAACTTGGACGACGTTGGTACCAGAGGAGGCGAGTTAACCAGACTTGAATTTTTTTCAGACGTCAGTTTCTTTTTAGAAGTGTAAACCGAGGGTATTTTGGGATATCTATATTTATTACCTAACTTAACTAACATCATTAATTTAATCAAAATAGTCAAAAGGGTCTTATATTAAGGATCGGAGGAGTATTCATTATAGGATATGTTTTTTTGTAGTTGTTTCATGTTTCCCGATATAAGATGTTATAAAGAACATAATGATTAATTAGTGATATTATTCTCAATATCCTTCATTAGTTAAGTGTGATTGGTACCCTTTTTTGGGTATCTAGTTAAGTGTGATTAGTACTAAATAATGGGCACTTCTAAAGTTTTATACTTTTTTTTATAAACTTAAAATCAATCAATCAATCATCAATCATTAATTATATTCTTAAAAACTTGTAATATCCAGTTCGTTTAAAAGCAGGTTGGTTATGACTTATGATATTATGATATCTGAATATATTTAATTAATGAGATTTGAATAATACTTTGATTAAAATTTGGGTATATTGAATTAAACAAAGAATATCATTATTAAATAAAATTTCAATTGGAGGCTCAAATAAAAAAATAATAATTAATTTTGAATTTGAATAATATCCTAATTAATATTTGAATATATTGAATTAAATAGAAAGTATCATAATTAAATTGTATGTCAATTGGGGGTTTAAATAAATAAATTTAAATTTTCATATGTTTTTTCTAAATTTCACATATCTAATTCAAATCTCATTTGAATGAATACAAAAATCATGCTCCTATAAAAAGTAAAAATTAACTAGAATTCAAAATCTAATCATATATTCTAGTCGCTGCATCACGCGGTGGAAAAATTTAAAATCTGCGGATACGAAGAATGTGGAGAATGAGGTGATGATTCTGCGATGGATTCGCTTGTCTTTTTGTTGGCACGTGCTCTATGATTACTGGGCACGAGGATAATCAGTTGAAGATTAGGAAAAAAAGAGGGGGCTATTTGCAATTTTTTTTAATAAAATGGTGGATAGGACAATATGAGATAAATACAAAGGTGATTTCAAAATCCCAGGCTCATTTCAAGCCAAGGATGATATTTGGATTGCGTGAAAAAAAATTAATATCTCTTGCATAAAATTGTGTTTTCTTTTTCAAAAACATGTATTATCTTATTAGACGCAATTTTGTTCAAGTCATTATCAAGTAGTAAATATGAGCGTCTCTTCCAATATAAATTTCATGTTCATTCTTAATGAATGACAAAAAAAAAAAAAAACACTACTCTACATAGTACCACTCTGTTTCTTATTACAAGTCACTTGTATCCCAAACCCGCAAACCAAGAAATACATTAAATTAACTAATTTTTTTTCATATTTACCCTTATTAAAAGTTGAGAGAGGGGGGATAGATTGTATAGGGAACGAAAAGTTGAGAGAGATAGAGAGGGGATTAATTAATTTTTTATTAAATTAATAGGGTTAAAATTAGAAAAAGATCATTAATTATACTACAAGTGACTTATATTTTAACAAACTTTTGGGATACAAGTGACTTATAATAAGAAACAGAGTGGTAATTATATATCTAAAGTCCAACCTTTTTTTTTTAAGCCCAATAATATTGAAGTCTTCTGGCCAGATAAAACAATATTTACATATTAGATAATAATACATAAATTTCCATTTACAAGATATTTGTTACAGGATTTTTTTTTAGTGGTTTCAAGTTTCCCAATATAAAATGTTGTAAAGAAATACTGATTAATTAGTGACATTATTCTCAAAATATCCTTCATTTGTTAAGTGTGAGTAGTACTAAATAATGGACACTTCTAAAATTATATACTCTTTTGTTATAAATTTAAAATTTCTAACCAAACAAAGTGAAGGGAGCATATGTATGTGTAAGTGTAAATCCATATATTTTCCCTCCACTCAAACCAAATAAGGGCCTCATCCATGTCACCACTAGTGGAATTGTTTTTTTTTTTGTTTTTTTTCAAGAATCACATCCATATTCCATATATGATCTAAAATTTTGTAAAAAGTTCATTATGTATAAAAACAGAAAATTTCTCTTTAAATAAAATTTCGCTTTAACACTTATGGAATGGAGGTGAAAAACACTAAGCTATAAAGTATTTCAACATCTAAAGTCCAAAACAAATTTTTGGTAGGAGATCAGCAATATTGAATTTCTTTTGGGCAAACAAAACAATATTGAAATATAGGAGCTGTGAGTATTAAAATTTTTTAGAATCAATACCATCTCAGAAGTATTAAAAAAGGAGCAAAAATTCGCACATTAACTATTAAAAAAAACTAACAGTGACTGTCAATTTTTTTTATGTTTAAGGGCGACATTGCAGCCTTTTTTTTTTTTTACACACTTTTGTGGAGATATTGATTTATAAAAAAAGCTTATGAATATCTATAATTTTTACGTGAAATTTTTGAGCTAAAATTGAGCCTGAACTCTAGTGAAATCTGAAATAGTCCTCTCCCTTTGTTTCAATTTATAGGACAAATTTTGGGAGTGATTTCATGCTTTTTAATTTATGTTGTTTTGGAGAAATTAGCAATGATTTATTAATGATCTTGTTTTGAAAATACTCTTGCAATTCTAATTGTTTGTTTTTCTGAGTTTTCCTGTTTTTGGAGTTAAAGGCCACGGATCCAATGAAGGTGTGTGAAATACATTGGGTCAAGTTAGATGAGAGGTCAAAGAATTTATACACGCTAGCTCCCAGTTTTTTTTTTGTTGCTTACCCAGTTCATTGGAGCTTTGCTCCTACTACATCTGGATCCGACCCACGTCGCATACCTGGCTGTGGTGGGTGAGTCTCCCAAAAGGAACTTTTACATACACTGAGGCTCGAACTCTAGATCTCGCTTAAGTGATACCAAACTGCTTACCACTTGGTCCAACTCTTGTTAGTCACGCTATCTCCGAGTTATTTTCTTCCTTTTGCCCCTTCCATTGAACAACTGTGGGCCGAAGTTGTGAAAGATCCGGTTTCATTGAACAACATGATACTATGTAATACTCCTTTGATCTTTAGTGTGAGATCTATTTAATTAATTTAATTATAAGAAATATAATATGTTTTTTCTTAAAATATCATAATCATCTTTCTTAATATCTTCTCTTTTTTTTTTACTTGATCATGACTAAAAGAGTATCAATAAAGATAATTTTAAAAAAAACTGATAAATACTATAAATAAGTCTTATATTTGTGACCCAAATCAATTTAACAATTAAGTAATACATGAAGGGCTAGAGGAATAACTTTTAAGATTAAACGAATCTTTTCTAGTAAAAAAAAAAAAAACAGAGTATGGTATGTCAATAGAAAGAGAAAAGTTCGAAATCTCAGAGCGCGCAGCTTACTCAACATGCTAAGGACATTGGCTAAGGTAGGTAAATAAAGATTCTTGAGATCAAGCGAATGTGATTAATGGTAGTTGAATGAGTCCATTTCTAAAACGTTGGAATTAAAAAACTAAATTAAAATGCTTTAATATTCAGAAATTAAAAAGTCCTGAATTTGAAACTGTTGAAAACAAAGGCTCTTTTTTAAGCAAAAATATTTTGTATTTTCCATATAACTCTCAGCACAAAAAAAAAAGAAACCAACCTCTCATTAAAGCTTTTGTTTCTACTGGGCATAAATATCCTTCTATTAAAATAATGATGTTTATAACACTAAACATGGATATTTCTTTTAATAGCAATTTACGAAATACGAGGTAAATATATAAAAAAAATTTTATCTCGACTTACGTGAAACGAGTTTATGAGAAATTTCTACCACTCTACCAAACGAGGCCTTAATCTCAAGAATCTTCATAAAAATTTGGATTTCAAAGTAAGAAAATGAATATTTTGCGGTTCCTATTTCTTGACTCGGTATTAATATTTTCTATTTATTTAAAATCAATTATTAACCTTTCACAAAGTTGATTTTTGGACAGTCTAATTTAAGATACGCAATTGATGATATTTTGGGAGCAATTTTGGATTATAATATTTTTTCTTTTCTTCAAATAGAGCTTTGTGGTTAATTTCTATTTTTGCAAATTCTTATCTTATTTTAAAAGTGAGGTTATAAAATGTTAATGAAAAAATTGTAAGAAAAAAAGGTAAGAAAAATTAATGAACAGCTTTTAAATCCTACTTCTTCAAATTTTTAAATTAAATTCATTAAAATTTTTCTTTCCCTTCTCTCTATCAATTTCCCTCGTATCAAATAGACCTATAAGTCATTTCTCATGATTAAAGAAACTCTTTGAATAAAGAATAGTGTATGTTTTTTTTCCCCAAGTATAGTTTTAAACGTTAAAAAATAAAGGTTCCAAATTCGAAAGTGTTAAGAATGAAGGATTTTTTTTTTGGAAAAGGCTCTACGGAGCAAAATTATTTGTATCCATTTGAAATAGTTTATAAGTAGTTTTTTAATAGTAATTTATAGAGTATGAGGCAAACATGTAAGAAAAGTTTTGTCTCAATTTATATGAAACTTACTTATAGAAGATTTCTATCGCTATCCCAAATAGACACTTTGCATTTCAACAACAGTCATTTTGCTCACTTGCATCTTTAGAAGTCATTATTCGCTTCAGATTGCTGACAGATTCGCCAATTTGGGATGAACCACTATCAAACTTTGCGGACGTGTATATGTATTTTCAAAACAAATTTTAGCGACTTAATTACAAATCAAGAAAGGTGGGGACTAAGATTTAATTCCCCCCCCCCAAAAAAAAAAGGTTAATTGTCTCAATAAAAAAACTACAACGGTAAGAGTCGAATGCACTAAGGGCCCGTTTGGGATCACGTTTGGGGGCCCAAACGTGCGTCCCAAACGGACTTGTGGGGTGGCTGACATTTTTGAGTGTTTGGATCCCCGATTGCCCAATCTGACTTTTGAGGTTTAAATGGGCTTCTGAGAGAAGCTCATATTTTGAGCTTTTTTTTCGGACGTGCAGCTGGGGTGAGGAAACCGTTGGAGTGTGTTTAATTGTTTTACCTAACTGACCCTCTCTGCATGTATTTTCTCTGACCTCACTCAGCTCAAAGACAAAAAAAGACGCACACACGCACTCAGCCACAACACGCTCTGAAGCTTAAAAAAAACTCCTCCCGACGTCTGCTGCCATATACTCGCCGTGCGCCCGCCGTCTCCCGCCGTGCGTCCGCCGTCTCCCACCGTCTCAACAGTTCGGGTTCAAGTGTGGTCGGTCGTTCAGTTCTTCCAGCGTCTCATCAGTTCTTTCCTCTGTTTGTTGAGTTGTTCCAGCGTCGTCGTCTCCCGCCGTGTCTCCGCCGTGTCCCGCCGTCTCGTCAGTTGCGGTTGTTGTGTGGGAGTGGCTAGACCTTGGTCGTTCGTTCAGATCCTTTAAATACCGTCGCCGTTCATCTTCTTCCTCTGTTCGGTTGCAAGCGTCGCCGTGTCCCGCCGTGTCTCCGCCGTGTCCCGCCGTCTCATCAGTTGCGGTTGTTGTGTGGGAGTGGCTAGACCTTGGTCGTTCGTTCAGATCCGTCAAATACCGTCGCCGTTGATCTTCTTCCCCTGTTCGGTTGCAAGCGTCGCCGTCCGTTTGAGGTGCCGCCGGATCGCATCTGCTCCAGATCCACACTGCTCAGAGTCTCCTTTGTACGCCTGGTAAGAGATACGTAATTTTGGTCCCAGATCTGGTTGTCTTCGATTGTTCTTGGCTCTTCGATTGTTCTTGGCTGCCGGCGGATGCATGGCTGTTATAGGAGTGTTAATATGATATTGTTGCTATTAATCTGATGTTCTTTCGATCAGTGTGGCCTAGCTGTCGAACTTGGTAGTAGTGTAGTAGGAAGAACTGACTTGAACGTATCGATTAATGTGGTTTTTTGGCTGTGTTTTATCTGTGTTTCCTGTTAATTATTTTTGACAATGTCAGACTCGTAGGCGCATTTTAGTTTGAAAATTTGAAGATCTGTGTTTCTATTTATTTGTAGTTCTATGTTTCTATTTTATGATTTGTGGTTTTGGCAAACTGACTACCCCTTTGCTGTTAATTATTTGCCACAAGCTCCGAAAAGTATACGTTTTTTAGTTTGAAAATCTGAAGCTCGGTGTTTGTAAAAAGTGGCGTATATATTCATCAATAATGGTTATTGTTGATAAGTATGTTTTACAAACCTAAATATATATGATTGTGATATTATAATTTATACATATTATATATATTAGATATTTCCTGTCATATTTATTTACAAAATAAACATAATATTTCTGCATTGTTGGAAGAAAAGTGTTCTGGTTCACTGTAACTCCCTTTTGCATTCTTGATTGACATTTTTTAATAGAACTATGAACAAAGAAAAAAGTAAGGCAACATGGGATACAAGCACTACAGAGGTGTTACTTAAAGAATGCATGGAGCAAATCTACCGGAAAAATCGTCAAGGAACATCATTTTCAAAGACTGGGTGGAACAACATTCACTCTGCATTCAATGCAAAAACAGGAAAATCTTATGAGAAGAAGCAATTGAAAAATAGGCTCGATAGCTTGAGGAAGGATTGGAGGACATGGGTTGATTTAAACAAAGAGACTGGTGTAGGTTGGGACCCTGTAAACAATACAGTGGTGGCAACAAATGAGTGGTGGGAGAAGAAAAAACTGGTATATAATTGTTGATCTTGAGTTATAAACTGTGTTATTACTTGTTATAGGCTTTTTATTTTTGTTGATTGTATTCTTGCAGGAGAATCCCCAATATGAAAAGTTTAGGTACCAGGGGTTAAAGTTTGCTTATGAATTAAACACGATATTCAAGGGTGTGATAGCATCTGGAGAGGATATGTTGGCACCGTCTTTAACCCAACCTCAGACACAAGAGGATGATGAAGAGAATGTGTATAGAGTTGATACAGAACTCCTTGAAGGATCGGGGGATAGCAAAGAAGATCTTGGAGGTGCTAGTGTAGGAGTTACGAATGAGATGGCAGGCGTAAACTTAACAGCAAATACTACACCTAGTGGTTCAGGAAGCCATGGGAAGAGGAAGAGAGGTGAAGGGTCTAGCAGGCAAACAAAGCAAAAACTTCCGGCCTCAAGACAAATAGCGGATTCAGTTAGTGAAATAGCTACTGCATCTAAGGATAGAGCTGCAACTCTTAAGAAAATAAAAGAGGTATCAATTTCTGAGGTTACGGCCGAAGTGCTCTGCCTTGAGGAAATTACAAGTGACTCTGATTTCCGGAACCGGTGCTTAAGACTTCTGTTGCACAAGAGTGTTCGGGAAATGGTTGTTTCACTAAAAGGACAACCGGAATACTTGGTTGCATGGCTACAGGATATGGCATACAATCCACCATCATGGCTGAAACCCCCGCCTGCTTGAACTATATTTTAGGACGCATGTTATGATTTTATTTTGTCTAACTCGGACCAGAGTTGTTATTATATGTTTTTAAGTTAATGTTTGTGGAACTATGAAATTATGTAACTTGTTAACTGACTATGAATGTTTTTAAGTTACATGTGTTATTTATAATGGTAATTGCAGCTTATGAATGTTTTTAGACTAATTTTTATGTCTTTGCATGTTTAACAGAAAGAAATATTTATTTGCACATACCTAAAAATATTTATTTGTCGTTTAAAAAAATTCTTACAGTTGAATTTAACCACACTCACAGGTGACATTATCTATGGCAAATTGGAACAATCAATTTACGTTTGAGTGGATGGAGGAAGATGAACAGTCTGAAGAGGAGTCGGAGGAAGATGAACAGTCTCAATTGATTTCCCTTCTAGATGAAGAGATAACACAATATGAAGAGGTAGCTGTATTGGTGAGTCAATATGTGATGCCTTATGTGTGCAAAGAGCCACGAAGAACTAGTCAGCAAACAGGTAATTTATGGGTGCAAGAAATTTTGCGAGATCATGAAATTCGGTGTTATGACATGTTTCGAATGGAAAAAGAAATGTTCATGCGATTATGCTCTAAACTGGTCGAACATGGTTTAAAAAATTCTAAGTATCTGGGAGTGGAAGAAATTGTTGGTATGTTTTTGAACATGGTTGGTCATGGACAATGTAATAGGATGATTCAAGAAAGGTTTCAACATTCAGGAGAAACTGTAAGCAGGCATTTTCATAGAGTATTACAGGCTTGCCTTAGTCTTTCCAGGGAATACATCAAACCACTCGATCCTACGTTTTCTGTAACTCACCCAAAAATAAAAAACGATAAACGATATTCGCCATATTTCAATGATGCAATTGGAGCAATTGATGGCACTCATGTACGATGTGTGGTGAGTCTTTCGAAGCAAGACAAATATATCGGGAGAAAGGGATATCCGACACAGAATGTCATGGCTGTATGTGATTGGGACATGTGCTTCACTTTTGTGTTAGCGGGATGGGAAGGTACTGCACATGATGCTCGTGTGTTTAACACTGCTGTCTCAACTCCAGCCTTGGATTTCCCTCATCCACCTCCAGGTATATTTTCAGTAGCTTCAGTTTTAATTATGTCAAATTCATTTGATATTTTCATTAATTTCACAATGTCAACATAATTTCATGATTTATTAGGGAAGTATTATTTGGTCGATGCTGGCTATCCAACTCCACCAGGATATCTTGGTCCGTACAGATGTGAGCGCTATCACCTTCCAGACTTCAGGCGACAACCGGGATTTGAAAATTATAACGAAGTCTTCAATTACTACCATTCAAGTTTGAGGTGCACTATAGAAAGGACTTTCGGGGTGTGGAAGAATAAGTTTTGCATCTTAGATAAGATGCCAAGTTACAAGTATAAAACTCAAGTCCAAGTAGTTTGTGCTACAATGGCTATACATAATTTCCTCCGAAGAAATTCTGAAACTGATAGAGATTTCATAGAAGCTCAATCTGAAGGTACAATTGACGAAGACAATCATAATGAAGCTGGTGAGACATCCTCTTCAAATTTACCTAGATCAAGACAAATGAATCATGTACGTGACACAATCAGAGACCAAATTGTATTGAGCATGGCATCCAACTAGTTATTTGATGTATTTAGTTTAAAAATGCTACGTATGTATGACCTCTAATTTACATATTTATCCATTACATATATTTAATTAAGTTTTTTATTATTTTTCAATTTCCTTCTAGTAATAACTTAATTTTTTTTTATTTTTAATAAATTTTTTTTCAATACTTCTTTTAAAATAGTCACATTATATATATAATTTCTTTATAACAATAAATTAAATTTCCTTATTTTTAATAATTTTATTTTCATTACTTTATTTATGACAAATAGTCACATTATATATATAATTTCTTTATAATACTAAATTAAATTTTTTTACTTTTAATAATTTTTATTTTCCTTACTTCTTCACTTTTAATAATTAAATATCTAATATTAGATATGTGTTATTTAATAGAATTCATGTGCTTTTAAGTCATTTTACATTCAAACTTACTTTTACATTTATCATCCAAACAAGTTTCAGCTTCTCAAACTGACTTTTTTCTAAAACCCAATCCAAACATAAATCACATTACCCAATCTGACTTTTACTCAATCTGACTTTTGGAAAAGTCAGATTAAAAAAAAAGTTACTTCTCCACCGCCAATCCAAACACACCCTAAGTCGCAGCTGGAAGCAGGAAGCATGAAGCAGCAAAACCTCAGTGCATCTTTGTTTCATCCATCTGCGATAATGGTTTTCCCTTTTACCTGATCTTTTATTTATGCTTCTGTTCTTCTTGAACCAGCTATTGTTATTTCTTCAAATTCCTGAATCAAACTTCCGACCATGTCCATCCCCTCCGATCTAATCGATTTCGTTGTGAACCGAGGCCATGGAGTAAAGGGTCTTTCTGATTTGGGCGTACAAGCTGTTCCCGATCGATATATCCAACCCCTCGAGCAGAGGTTCGACAATCGCAAAGTGGTCTCTCAGGAATCCATACCCGTCATCGATGTCACGAACTGGGATGCCCCAGATGTCGCAGAATCAATTTCCAATGCTGCTATCAAGTGGGGGTTCTTTCAAATCGTTAATCATGGAATACCGATGAAGGTTATTGAGGACCTGAAGGCTTCGGTTCATAGGTTCTTTGAATTGCCGGCGGAAGAGAAGAAGCATATCAAAGAGAACTCTCCCAGTGAAGTTGTGCGATTAGCTACCAGTTTTAGTCCTCAGGCTGAGTCAGTCTTGGAATGGAAAGATTATCTGCAACTTGTGTATGCTTCCGAGGAGAAAATTCAGGCATACTGGCCTGCCATATGCAAGTAAGTAAGAGACAGTTATTATGATATCTGCTCTTCGAAGCTCAGATACAAGTCGAACCCTGAATGCTTGCAATACATTGTGAGAAAGTTAGACATTCTTAGAGCTATGAGAGAAATAAGACAAAAAGTGCGTTTTTCTTGAACTTTGAATTTGTCTTCATCATAATTTGAGTGAACGTGACGTGTGGGAATTTAATTTGGTTGAACATTGTGTTAAATATAATGTGGCTCTTTAAATTACTGGTGATTACATTGCTGCATGGTCTGAGGTTTTCATGCTTCTTATTCCCTGATTTATCTGGGACGTGGCTTGACTTTGCAAGGTATTTTGAGTTCAACGAGTGCTCAAATTATTTTGTTAAGAATTTTCTGTTTTGCGCTTTGTTATAAGATTCACTTGCTGTGTAAGGATGGAATGGTATTTCTAGGAGTCCAACGGGGCCACAGAGGAATGAACTTTAATGTTTTGTTTTTGTGCAGGATAATGTGTTTGCTATAACAAGAAATAACGTAAATAATGAAGATTTAATATTTCGTTTCATCAAAAGGAATCATTTGATGCATCTTAGTCTTCTTGGACCAAGCTGACTGTGAGAAAATATTAGTGGAAGAACTTATTGCTGATAATCATTTGAACACAAAAAATAAACACAATATTCACCACGCTGGAAGTCAGTCTTGTACATGAATTCACATATGAACCAACTGTTCTTCTGCAAAAGTGGGTATAAAAGTAGAAACTTAGGAAGCATCAATAGTGGCAATAAACATCCCGGATATTGCGACATGACAAAGTATGAAATGTACACATGTAACTTAAAGCGTCATATTGCGTACTGAACACAAACTGTTAAACTGTCTGTGTTACAATGGTGGAAACACACAGTGCATTGAATATATTTTCTTTCCTGAGGTCATTTATCCACAAGCATTCCAAATGTAGCTTGCTGTGTTTATAGATGGCTTAACAGCTAATGGACAATGTTATAATTGCATAGGTTTCCTTACCAAGAAGTTATAGCTGGGTGTCTAAATCAACCATAATTGATTATCATTCTTGCAGAGAACAATCCCTGGAATATATGAAACACTCTGAAGTTCTTATTAGAAGGCTGTTAAGCGTGCTCTTGAAAGGACTCAACGTGAAGGAGATGGACAATGAAAGAGAACATGCCTTAATGGGGGCTATGATACTTGACTTCAATTACTATCCTCCTTGCCCTGATGCTGAAGCTGTAGTTGGTGTAGGTCGGCATTCTGATATATCATCGATCACCGTCCTACTGCAAGATGAGACAGGTGGGCTTTATGTAAGAGCCAGTGATGGTGATAACTGGATATTTGTACCTCCTGTTGATGGTGCATTGGTAATCAACATTGGAGATGTGCTGCAAATAATGAGCAATGACAGGTACAAAAGCATTGAGCACCAAGCTGTTGCAAACAGAGCCAAAACCAGGATCTCAATCCCAATTTTTGTGAACCCGGCACCTGATGCCGTTATTGGTCCTTTACCAGAAGCTCTGGAGGAGGGAGAAGAGCCAAAGTATAAGCGAGTTGTGTACTCAGACTACTTCAAGTATTTCTTTAGTAAGCCTCATGATGGGAAGAAAACTATTGAATTTGCCAGCATATAATGTGTGTGCCTGTTGGCATCGTCCTAAAACTGTACTTCCAATTCTTAAGCTCAGATCCTCTGGAGTGACACATTTTCCGCACTCCGTGTATTTGTAGTTGACAAGATATATAAGCCCAAAACAATAAAAAAGAGAACAGTTGTACAAAGGAGATGCGAACCTCATATAGAATCATATTCATATACAATTGAATTCATCGAGTTCAGTGAAGTTTCTTTCTATTTAATTCTTGCAATGGGAAGGGTATTATCTCGCTTGTTTTACCAGAACTGCCCTGTTGCATGCTGCAATGGAGAAGCAAATGCACTGGATTGAATTTGATAACAGAAAAAGTAGTTTCATGTGAACTGGTTTCCTTATGATTATGAATTTTTATATTGCTGCACGACTTTTAGTAGAGCCTAGCTGAATTTCTGATCTCAAAGTGGAAGGACTGGAAGTCAAGTCAGAGGAGAACCATCCGCTTGTGTCTTTGGATAGATGTGATGGATCAAGCTTGCAGGACCCTTTTTAAAGGGGGAAAACATTGACAAAGGCTTTATAAAAAAATTGACAATGGCTTTATAGTCTTTTGATAATAAAATTATTAGGAAGCAAAAAATTGGACCGGAAACCAATGATTCGGTTTGAAATCCCCTTTGGCTCATAGCTTAAACCGAGGACTGGTTTCAATCAGAATAGACAAGACAAATAGGAGGGTGAACTAGTGTGAACTAGTGATGAATAAGTATGTTGTCTTTAATTCTATTTTTTCTCATTCAATTCTTAATATCACAATCACTATAGATTTAAATGAACTTTAGATGATTTTAGTATTAATGACTATTAATTTTAGTTATTGAGAAATCGTAAAGATGAACATTCTTAATGTTGTTATGCTTTGTTATTGTTGTAATCAAACTATTGTTGTATTTTCTTGTATGTTGTTGAAAATTGGCCCTTGCAAAATAAAGAGTTAAATGTTAGGATTGAAGGGACTAGTCTTTTATAATGTGACGAATCAAAATTTGAATATCGTAACAAAAAGAAAAAAAGATTTAGATGTTAGGATTGAGATTAGGATTTAAAATTTTTGGAGATCTTTTTATTAGAAATTAAAATTTGCAAAATAAAAGAAAATGCAGGGAAATTAGGCGAAACTAAAATTAAGGTTCTTGTAACTTGAGTGATTAATTAGAACGCAACCGATTAAGGTTTTACTTAGGGTGTGTTTGGTATGAGGGATTTGGGAGGGAGGGGAGGGGAGGGGAGGGGAGGGGTTTTAATCATTTTCCCTTGTTTGGCAACACACAAATTTTAGGAGGGGAGGGAAAATTTTTTAAAATTTCCCCTCCCCTCCCCTCCCTAACCTCCCCTCCAAAATTGGGAGGATTTGGAGGGAAAGGGCAATATTTTGTCATATTATGACCATTATGCCAATATTTTGTCATGTTGTAACTATTATGTCTATATTTTGTCATGTTGTGACCATTATGCCCACACCTTAAATAAAATAAGAGTAAAATTATCCATATTAAAATGTTTTTCCCTCCCCTCCCCTCTTTTTTTATAAATCCAAACAAGATAATATTAAAATCCTTCCACTCCCCCCCTCCCCTTCCTTCCATTAAAATCCCTCCCCTCCCCTTCCTCTCATTGAGCCAAACATACCCTTAAAGAAGGAAAACATCCTTGGTCTGTTAAAAATTAATTAGAACACAGGGACGCATAAAAGTCGTAGACCAGTGAATTTTTCCTGGGTGGATTAATTTCTGCGCAGCAATAGTGACTGAATTTTAACATGAGCAATAACAAAATAACTATTAAGATATACATAAAAGTGGGATGCCCAAAAAAAAAAATCAAGGAAAATAAAAAAGAAATATATTATATTTCTGCTCTTTTCTCCTCACAGTACGTTATAATTTTTATTGTGAATATATCTACGTTCTGAACTGAACGCAGTTGGTGAACAGGGATACGCAGAGCCGGGGATTCCTCCAGATCGCCATTAGCTTTCCTTTGATCCAAGGTTCACTGATCAGTAAGTAAAAGAGGAAGATAGTAGAAAGCCAGTAAATTGCAGCAGCGACAATCGAAGAATCAAAAGGAATCTATGAGCCCCACGTATACAGGTCCGTTTGGATCAGCGGAAAAATAGTTTATTGAAAAAGTAGCTTATGGAGAAGTAAAGTTTGTAAAAGCTAAATTGGATAAACTGAATTGTATTTGGATTGGAGTTCAGAAAAGCTAGTTTACAAAAGTGAGATTGATAAAAGCTTGTTTGGATAATTGAGTAAAAGTAAGTTTGGTTGTAAAATGACCAAAATGGGTATAAATTTTAATAAATAATAGAACATGATAAAAAAATGATTTAACATAATACAATAAAATTAAAATAATTTATTATGAAGAAGTCAAATTTGATGAGTGAATTAAATTTTAAAATTTTAGAGAAATTATAAAAAATATTTTAAATATAAAAAAAATGAATTGACATAATACATATAAAATATAAAGACTCATTTTTTTTTCCTAGTCTAGATGTTCTCCATCAGTCCATCCCCCTTCGCTCCATCACCCCTCGTTGGCTTTCTCATTTCCCAACCAATAAGCACATAAAAGTAGCTTTCATCAGCTTATGCCAATCGTGGAAATAAGCTACTTTTGGCTTAAAAGTAAGATGGGCCAAAAGTGAAACCAAATGCAACAAAAAGTGAACAAGCTGACTTTTGGTTCATAAGGAGCTTATAAGTCATTTTTAAGTGAATCCAAACAGGCATGTAAACTAGAAAGCAGAAGGAAGATTGATTGGGTGAAGATTATGGAGTTAATCACCAAGAACAATGCAGCTAATGAGGCCAGACAGGTCTTGATTATTTTTATGCTGGGGAATAACACATGCTTTGGTGAATAATAGCTCTGAGATATGCAGCTCCAATCTATTTTCGTGTCTGTTTGGAATGGTGTTGATGGGGGATTTGTCAAACCTTGGTATGACAACGTTATAATTAACGTTGCCTCTACTAAAACTGTATTCTGAAACTCTGCTGATGCTGCTTCTTGTTTCTCTTTATTTTCAGGTGCTTCATCACTACCATCTTCCACCTCCACCGTTATATTAGTTTCTTCCTTTATCTCATCTTTGTCTTCTTCTTTCCCTTTGTCTGGTATTACCTGCCACCATATTGTATTCATTATACCCATTGTTTCATAATCACTGCGTTAAAAAAGGGATTTTCCTTGTATTTGTGTGTACAAAAGAAGTTAGTCCCTTCAGTTCTATATGTACGAGCTAGATGAGTGGTTTGGTTTGATTCAAAATATAAGAGCTCAATCTCCCCCCCCCCCCCCCCCAAAAAAAAAAAAAGCTACCCGCGTAACCGGATTCTCATTATGATGTACTGGCTATGTTGATAACAGCCCAATGTATTAATTATTTATTACAATTTTTTCATTTTACCCTGATTCCATGTTATTGAGTCTTAACGTTTTTCTTTAGTAGTTCTAGTAAAAATACTGAAATGACTTATAAATAGGGTTTAAGAGATTAAATCGTTAAAATAAATAGTATTTTAGGAGGACCGGTGCATATTTTTTTTACAAAAAGCTAATTCACCTAATTTTTTTTTAATCGGTATGAATTAGTTAACTAATCCCTATATATATCTATGATGGAGCGAGTGCCAACAAACACGTAATTCACCCGGATTTGGGGTGTGTGCCTGCCCCTCCTTCGTTGCCCTCTCTGTTGCCCCTTAAATTTTCCTCACTCTCCAAATGTTTTTTTTTAACCATTAAATTCTATATAAAATAGTGATATTTTGAAATCTCATTAGCAAAAAATAGTGCAGTTTTTAATTTTTTACGAGTTTTCAAATACTTTGTATCTAATTTAAAAATAAGTTTCATTGATTTTAGAGTGATTTTCTTTCAAAAAACGTTTGGAAAGTGCAAAAAGTTTAGGGACAAGCATAAGAGGAGTAGCAAACACGCCAAATCCAATTCAACGGGCATATATTTGTACGACATTGTAACTACTCTGGTGGTTCTACCAGCAAACTTAACCATTTGAATTTGATATATATATATATATATATATATATATATATATATATAAAAGAGAAGAAGTGGTAAATTTTTTGGTGTATTACCAAGAAGTTTTTCTTTGCGGCTGTAAGGTCATAGACAGTCTTGCCGTTGATGTTCTTGGCTTTTTACAGTGCCTGGAACTTCGGAAGCCTTCTGATGCTCTCCACCATCACTTGCACCACTTTAAGTCCATTGGCCTTCATTGCTAAATGCAGAGCTGTCTCTCCTTTTGCTGTTACTTCTTCGGTACATTCAGGACTATGCCTCATCAATTCTTTAACCACTCCAACTCTCCCTCTGAAAACTGCGTAATGCAGTGGAGTCCGACCTTCGTTGTCCTTCAAAAGGCACTGGTTCTTCATCACTTCATCGTCCTCATCTTCAAGCTTCGCCTTCAAAAGCTCTCTTACAGTCTGAACATGGCCTTGTGCTGAAGCCATGTGCAGTGGGATTAAACCTTCCCGGTTTGTGTGCATGGCTAGTGAAGGCATCAGGCTCATAATCCGCTTCACAAAATCCACTCGTCCTGATAATGCTGCAACATGAAGAGGTGAGTCTACAGATAGGGCTAAAGACGCTTTTTCCAATACTTGAGGATCTTCCTCCATTATTCTGTGCAATGCCTTAACATCTCCCACCCTTGCAGCTTCAACCAATCTCTGATCCATTATTTCTTCTCTGAATGTGATACCATATATTTGCTTGATATTCCCGTACCATACAATCACTTGGTCAGATTCAGAAAATTCCTTGCATTAATATATGTGTACCTGTCTCATCTGTCCGTACACATATGCCTTGCTCTAAGATCAATCTATCTCCTATTATTCCAATGTGCCATATATTTCCGAAGTTAGCTAGTGTCCCCGTCAAGAATTACGTATGTGATAGCTTTTCTTATTGTATTTTTCAGAAAATAATTGACACAACTTTTATTAGTTGCTTCTTCCGCCAGTCAGTGTGAACTCTTATAGTTATTGCTCCTTTTCTATAAACCGTGTTTATCAGAGAGTTAAGATTGGAATAAAATTGAATGCTATTTACTTACACAGCACAATAATTCTGAGTTCAATAATGATTGATATTCGCAGCATCCCAATAATGCATTTGTTTGATAGGATTGGGAAATGTCACTCCTTCCTATCATATCATTGTCATCCAAAAAAACAAAATTGTTTTTGGGACCTAATAACTGTGAATAAATTGAATTTTTGGAACTTAACCGTGATTCTCGTTTTTCGTTATCTTGGTCAGTGAGTCGTTGATACTTATAATGTTAGTATCACCCGTCCTTTGTTAATAAAATAAGAACATAATATTCAATTTAATGGCAAGAAAAGAATATATCCCTGAAAGGACAAAATTTGAGAAAAGTGAATGAGGTTAAAATTTTAGATTATTTACTTGTTTGGCCAAAAAGATAGATTATTAAGTCGAAGGCAAAGAATATATTAAAGTCATCATATAGCATGCATAATCAAAATCAGCAAAAAGTTAGACACCGTATCCATCTGCTACTCACAAAATAAGCAAATAAAATGCAATGGAAATATGATGAACAAAATAGGGAAATAATTGACTCAATCATCAACAAACGGTAATTTGGATCAAGTAAATTGCAAAATAGAGTTTCATGTGATTCTTCTATAAATTAAAAAAGCCTGTCCAGTTGCTATGATTTAACCTATTAATGTTATATAATACGACCTCCAACTCTTAATATAAGATTTAACTTATAGTTTAAATTGCATTACAAATTAGATCATACATTAAGAATCATAGTTAATACTTTTGAGTGCTAAATCCCAACGTGAACAGTTTCACAACATATTGCAACATCATTAGGTTGAGATAGCGTGAGCAGTTGCACATGGATTGTTGTTCGGCCTCAGAAAGTGGAAACCACGATGATGATTGATGTCAAGAAGATCATGGTGTTGAGAAGCAAGAACCAAAAAGCCCACAGGGCTGGACAGTCCTTGAGGTTGTTTGGAGATATCCGACCAAATATCAGGCCAAGGCGAAGGCAGCCCCATTCTACTGCAGTGCCATCTTTGAAAACGAGTGATGGAGGATTTGCCATAGCTTGGTATGTCAGTGTTATGGTCAAGGTGGCCACTACCAGTATTGCATCCTCCTGCAACTGCGATGCATTGCTCTTCTCTTTTTCAGATGCTTTACCGCCATCCCACTCCCCCTCCACGTTTATACGACTTTCCTCTCTTATTTCATCTCTTTCCTCCTCATCTTCTTTCAGTACCCCTAGCACCTGCCACATTCACCTTCCAATCACATATAGAAAGAGTCTAGATGAGATAAGCAAATTCTATTACCTTGTAACGACTCAATATGAGGATATTCTTAAGAAAGGCCACGTGTCAAGAAAATGGAAAATGGAATGTGTTTATCATGAGGACGTTGCAAATGTGGGAGTGAGTGGTGTAGAGGTGATTACACTATATTAAGGGAGAGGCAAAATGAGAATAGGGTGTGGATGATTTGGATGATCTTTTCTCTGGTCCCATTCTTCGGGAATCTTTTATCTTGGCTCTCTTCGTCCCTGTCAAGCTTCCTCTTCTCTCTTCCCTCTATTTCCCTGTTAATTCCTCTTCTTTCAATGTATTTTCAGACGCCTGTAATTGTTATAAACTGGATTGAATCTTAAATACATACTTGTCATTCCATTGTGCTGAGATATTACAATTTAGATCGTTACATACCTGATCCTTAATATAAGAGCTAGTTTGACTTTTAATTTGGTCTTCAATGTAAGACCTCAATTCACTTTATCTCTCATATTTATCTATTTTTCTAAAATAGTTCTTGTGGTAATTACACATGTTAAATATTCTATCAATTAGTAGTTCTAGCTAATATACATAATGAGTAAGGGTATTTTGGAGAATTCAATTTATGTTTATTATAAATAACTAACTTAACACTTCCTTAATTTATTCAAATTAGTCAACTAACTCAGAAGTGGAGGTAGTACTTTGCTTAACATACACACACCCCTGCAACTCTTTCTTTAATTTGCGGCTGCAAGGTCATAGACGGTCATGCCATTGATGTCCCTGGCTTTTACGAGTTCCTGGAAATTTGGAAGCATTTCGATCCTCTCTGCCAGCACTTTGTTCACAGCTTCAAATTGATTGGCCTTCACTGCTAAATGAAGAACAGTCTCTCCTTTTGCTGTCACTTGTTCCAAGCACTCAGGACAGGCGCTCATTAACTCTTCCATCACTCTCATTTTGCCTTTCCGTGATGCACAGTGCAGCGCAGTCCGGCCTTCGTCATCCTTCGCAAGGCATTGATTCACTCCGTCATCGTCGTCAAGCTTTGCCTTCAAAAGTTCCCTCACTGTCTGAACATGACCTTTCAAAGAAGCCAAGTGCAGGGGATCATACCCTGCTGGTTAGGATCTGTGGCTACCTAAGGCATTCGAATCACAATCTGCTCCACAAATTCTGCTTTTCCGTATGGCGCTGCGACATGAAGCGCCGAATCTACAAAATGACCCGAAGATGCTCTCTCCAGTATTTCAGGATCTGCCCCTATTAGGTTGAGCAGTCTGTTAACATCTCCATCTCTTGTAGCTTTCACCAACATCTGAACCATCACCTTTCACCAACTCTTCCTCGACTTTTCAACGCGGTTCCGCTGTACGTATTTATAGCCTCACAATGTGGCGTTATCGTGTTAATTATAATTTGTTCATTTTAGGATGAACATATTAAGTCATTGGCTTAACTTTTTATCTTGATATATTTTATGTAACCATAATCATCACGGTGTGAACTCGCTGACCTGGTAAATGATAAGAAATCAATTTTATTTTTAAAAAAAATGATTGAGCTTACATTGTGTGAGGTCATTGACTTGATTAATATGATAAAAAAATTTTAATAGAGATGGGCTCCATTAATTAATCTAAAGTGTTTGTATCAACTTTACAATGCTGATCAAATTAATATAACTGTTAGGTTTAGTGATAATATAATATATAAACACACACGCAAGCAGTAAAGTCTTGGCCAATAGATAATCATTTTAAACAAATGATTTGTGAATTTATTAATAACCAGAATAAATGATTCAATTAAACAGCGTCATGCAGACCAGACTGAAAAATCGAAATAAGTTCCAACATTAGACTTCAAAAAATTTGCTCGGACAAATTAGGTTGGAATAATCAAAACTCCACTCATGTATGTTTATGCATCCCTCAATCAGGGAGCACATTCGGTGCTCATCGGACTGATGAGCACCGCGTGCTCATCAGTCCAAACGCGTCGTTTAAATTATTGAAGATGAGGTCGTTACCGCTCAGTGATACGTGAATGAAGCAGTTATGACACCGAGACTAACGTAATCCGAGTTTTAAGTGGAGCATATCTCTTCAGATTCTTCTAAATTTCCCGCGCAGCATATCTCTTCAGATTCTTCTTAATTTGCCGCCAAACTTAAACCAAAGCAGAGAGAGATGAATTGCATCGAAATAGAGGAGGAAGAAGGAAGAGGGTCATTTGAAATAGAAGAGGAAGGAGAAGGAAGAGAAGGAATGTTGCACGCTAGGCAAGAGAAAGAAGAGAGAGATAAACAACACCAAATTCCACAAGGAGAGGGGGTAGAAGACGGCACACTACAAGGAGAGAGGGAAGACGACAACGGCACAGAGCGACCAGAGCAAGAAAGAAGAAAAAGGTTTTTTTTTTAACTATATTGTCTCTTGCATAAAACAATTCTGGTGTGTTGTCATATCGTTTTGGCATGCTTTGTACAGATGTTTTGTTTTGGGTTCAAGACGTGCCATTTCTTCCTTTGGTTCCTTCAATACAAACACGTGTATATAAACTCTGCGCACATATATATATATATATAAAAGAATAAAGACCCATTTGTTAACAAGTATTTTCTCACGAAGAAAACAAAAGATTTTCTTATGTGCACAAAATATTGAGAGTTTAATATAAAAATGAAATTATAAAAAAAGAAATGGATATCTGACATTTTTTAAATATATTATGGTTTATTGTGTACAGTAATTTTACCATGGAAGATGAATTGAAGCCAAAAATAGGAAAGGAATTTGGAAGCTGGGAAGAAGCATGGACTTTTTGGCAAGATTATGGTAAAAGAATTGGTTTTGGGCCTAGAAAATATAATGGTACAAAAAGTAGAAAAGATGGTTCACTTATTACATATAGATATGTGTGTAGTAAAGAGGGTGTTCGAAAAGAAGGTAAACAAGAGACATATTCTTCCAAGTTTCGAGCTGAAACAAGGACTAAATGTAAGGCAAAAATGATAGTATCCATTGTTGATGGAAAGTACAAGGTTACTAAATTTAATGAAGAGCATAATCATCCTCTTCACACACCTGAAACAATACATTTGCTAGCATCTCAAAGAAATTTAGCAGAAGTTGATGCTTATGGAATTGACCTTGCGAGAAAGTCTGGACTTCAACAGAAGGCTACTTTTGATTTAATGAGTACATATGCTGGGGGTAAAGCAAATCTTGGATATACACGAGTGGATTTGCAAAACTATTTGCAGTCTAAAAAGCAAAGAAGTATGAAGTATGGAGAGGTAAGGTGTCTATTTGAATATTTTCAAAAGCAACTTGCGGCGAATCCTGCATTCTACCACAAATATCAAGTGGACACAGAAGAAGAAATCACTAATGTGTTTTGGGCGGATGCTGGAATGCTTATAGACTATGCACTTTTTGGTGAAGTAGTATCTCTAGATACGACATATTGTACAAATCGTGATCATCGACCTCTTGCAATCTTTTCTGGCTTTAATCATTATAGAAGTACAGTCATTTTTGGAGCAGCATTATTGTATGATGAGACCACAGTGTCTTTCAAGTGGTTATTAGAAACTTTCTTAGAAGCCCACATGCAAAAGAAGCCTAAAACTGTATTTACAGATCAAGATCAAGCTATGACAAGGGCACTAAGTGAAGTTCTTCCTCATACAAAGCATTGTTTATGCACTTGGCATTTAAAGCAAAATGGCATTAAACATCTTGGAAATTTAATGAAAGATGGGTCACATTTTTTGTCCGACTTTTGTAAATGCATGAGTAAAATTTCAGAGGAAGAAAAGTTTGAAGAAGCATGGAGCCAATTAATCTCTTCTTATGATGTCAAAAACAATCCATGGCTTATATCCATGTATAATATTAAGGAGAAATGGGCTTGGTGCTATGTTAAGAATGCTTGTACACTAGGCATGAGAAGCACACAGCTTAGTGAAAGTGTGAATGCTGATGTGAAAAAATGCACAACACCAAGTTTATCCATCAATGATTTCTTTACTACTTTTGACAAAGTTGTTTCAGAGAAGCGAGACAAGGAATTGAAACTTGAGTTTGATTCTCGGCAACAAATTCCTAGGATGGTCAATCAAAGTGCACCTATATTGCGCCAACTTGTGCTGACTTATACCCCCAGTGCCTTTCGTATGTTCCAAGTACAATGGGATCTCCAATTCTCTGTGATGTTAACTCATCGCGATGAAAAGGAACCATTATATATATACATTGCCCACATGATTAATGAAGAAGGGGAATGGAGAGTTAAGTTTAAACCTGACACACATGACATTTTTTGCACCTGCGGAATGTTTGAGACTACTGGAATATTATGTTGTCATATATTGAAAGTTTATGAGTCAAAGGATGTGAGGATTATGCCTGAGAAATACATTATGAAGCGATGGACAAGGAAAGCAAGGAGTGATGTTGTATATGATTTGAGAGGAAGTGAGATACAGGTAGATCCTAGACTTGAAATTACACGAAGATATAGACAATTAATGCATAAAATGGCAAGATTGGCAACAAAGGCAGCTTACACTCCTGAAAGTTTTGAATGTGTTCATAAATGCATCATTGAGCTAGATAACAAAATTCCAAACAACAATGAAAATATTGTTCCTGAATCAAGTAAGGCCCCAGTGACAGAGTCTCAAAATATTCCTAAGGGATTCAAAAAGAGAGAAGGGACAAAAAGAAAGCGACGTTGGAAACCTTGGGAGGAAAAAAATTTAATGATAAGAAGGCGACTTATAAGAGAACAAAAGGTATGAAGAGTTATTTAATTTACATTTATTTAGAAAGAAACTATTACTAATTTTGTATTCATCTTTTGTAGGATGTTCAAGAGGCTTCACCACTTAGTAAAAGAAGCAAATGTTCAAAAAACAAAAATGCCCAAACACATGATGCTCCCTCATCTCAAGTTGTCACAATTTCAACGGAACCTGCACAAACTCAAGACTCAACATCTCCATACTTAGCACCTTCAACTCAATATGTTTTCCCACTATCTACATCCCAACCATTGTCATTTACAAGATTGTTGAAGGTAAGAATCAATAGTTACATGTCGTTGTTATATTATCAACTCACAAACATTGACATTTGGAAATTTAGGCAGCTGAAGAAAAGGACATCCTATCACTTGACGCTATAGACATTACTACTAATTATTCACAAGGTAATCAATAGAAGAATAATTTTATATTCATTTCAATATATTGTATACAATTGACATCATTATACACTTGTATGTTTGCTTACTACATATAAAGATTGTCTCATCACATGGCAATATTAATTACTTCATACAGGATAGTGAAATAGGCACAACATGGATTTTGCTGGCTACTTTTCTATATGGATACAACCTATCTTCTCTGTTGGAGAGCACAACTTCGTAGGATGTTATAGGATGGGACTTGCTTTACATCTCTGGACAACAATCATCAACCCCTGCAATGATTTTACAGCAAATTAATCTCCATTCTTTATTTGATAGTTTCCAATCTATTTTTCTTTCTTGGTCAAGGTACTATGTATGACTATTTTACAACAATGATAAAGTGCAGCAATATCTAATAAAACTTGTAAGAGTTCAGATTACATGTAAATGTTTTAAAATTTTTATATAATAATAATATTCAAATGATCTAAATCAAATGCCATGTGCTGCTACAAGCTAACTGATATAAGGATTTGGTTGATCATCACTAAAAGCGACATCCTCTAAGTCATCAATATCCATGTCACCAAAAAGTCTTTTTCCTTATTTTGATATGATTGTTATCTAACGACAACTTAACATAGGAGGAAACTTTTCAATTGGCATTTTCTTGGTTGGTTGGTTTCTAAACACTTTTAATAAAAACAGAACCAAGTGTGAAATGGCTGACCTAAACTCAACAATTGATTTTACTTCTTTTTCAGGTTGATTGTTTGAAATAAAGAATAAGTTTGAAACAGATAAACTTTATTTATCATTACACCCAAAGCACATCTTATAATTAATCAGATAACTAGGAGGACTAATTAATAGAATATTGCAGTAATGTCCACGATTGACCCTTTCCTTAAAATATTATCACTAAAAATGCAATATCAGCATGTCATTATGCCTAAAAAAAATTATTGAAGTGATATAACCAAAACCATTTCACAAATTTCAAAACCATAATGAAATTTGTGTGAGGATCGAACATAGTGGAAGACAACTCATGAAACAATAATATATAAGGAACCGCATCAAATGATTCAACCACATGCATTATGTACAAATGTCATTATCGATTTTCAAAATATTGCAACAAGTTGGGAATTTTAGATTGAAATCCTTTACCTATGGATCCTCCGCCAATATTCTGTAGAACCCCCCCTTTTAGACCTAGCCCTTTCACCCTCTAAGATGCAAAATCTTACCAACATCGACAGCATCAAACTTGTAGTGGGATCAACATTTCGATTATCGGTGAAATCGTCAAATAACCATTACCATTTGCCACCTTAGACCACCATGCGTTGATCCTACCAAGTCGTCGGAGTTGCCGCATCTCACTGCTCACAGACTCAACATGTTGGGAAAGAAATTGGAGGAGAAATACATTAAATAAACTGACGGCTGAGATTATTTTATAATGAATGGATGAGATTTGCTCACTTACTCAATAATTTAAACGACGCGTTTGGACTGATGAGCACGCGGTGCTCATCAGTCCGATGAGCACGCGGTGCTCATCAGTCCGATGAGCACCGAATGTGCTCCCCCTCAATCATGCATGTGCCTGCATCATAAAATGAGACAATTTTTCCAACTTAACCTCATGAAATTTACTAGTCTTTTATAACTGGTAAAAAGAAAAAAGAAGCGTTTTTTTTTTTGGTCAATAACTCTATTAACAACTACCTTATCAGAATTAACAGTTTCATGTCAGTAAATTCAGAACTAATGTTATAATATTTACTAGTCATTTGTATAAGATAGGAACTCTCTGATTTGTGTCAAACCGACCTAGTCACTCTCATCATTTATGAATGAGCAGTAAATGGCCAGGAAATACAAAGAAAGACATCACAGCATTCAATTACCTCTTATTTTAACACATTTCTTTTTTAGATTCACGGGCTATGTCCCTGTGATCCTTCAGATTAAGGCAGTGCTTGACGAATTTTTACGAGGCCTTGATGTGATCTCTGATTAGGGCAGTCCCATTCTATTGTAGTGCTGCCTTCTTTGAGAAAGGTTGATGGAGGACTTGCCCAAGCTTGACAATCAGCTTTTTTTTTTTTTTTTTGTATTCTTCAACTTCACTCCCCTCCCTCTTCTACGTCAATGCTTATTTCATCCCCCTCATTTTCTTCCCTCGGTACCTCTACTACCTGCCGCACTCGTATATATTCCAATCAACATGCATGTATATATAAACACTGAAATATATTTATTAATTACATGCACATATATATTATACTTCTCTTCATACACACACACACACACACAGCTGCAAGTTTTTCTTTGCTACTGCTGCAAGTTAATAGGCCCTTTTTCCTTTTTGGTCCCGGGCATTTAACGGTGTCTGGAAATTTGGAAGCCTTTTGATTAGCCTCTCCTTTTGCTGTACACTTGTTCCAGGCACTCAGGACATTTGGTGATTAACTCTTCCATCACCCCCATTTTGCCTTTCTACGATGCACGGTGCGGCCCGGTCCAGCCTTCGTCGTCTTTCAAAAGGCACTGGTTCACCCCATTATCATCAAGCTTCGCCTTCAACAGCTCCCTATGGCTAACGGTCTCAACATGACCTTCTAAAGAAGCCAAGTGCAGTGGGATCTATTTATTATACCGTGCTTGTTTTTTTCTGTGGCTAATGAAGGCTTTCAAGTCACAATGAGGTTCACAAAATCTGCATTCCCTGATCGTGCTGCAACATGAACAGGTGAATTTGCAAAATGAACCGAACATGCTTTCTCCTGTATTGGAGGATCCTCCTTCAATATATTGCGCAGTTTGTTCATGTCTCCATCTCTTGCAGCTTTCACCAAGCCTAGCACTATAAAATAATCACACTTGTTGCTTTGTTGCTTAATCTCCTACCTCCACTCCCCTTTATTTTTTTCAACTTAATTTTTAATTTTTTTCAATGGATTTAATCTTTTTTTTTTTAAGTTGTACTTTGAAAATGCCTGAAAATAAGTTGACGTGTAACTAGCGTGTTATTTATTTATTCATTTTAAGGATGCATTCATCATTTGCTACCAACTTTCCTTAAGATTTGTCAATTAAAATTGATCAACTTTACTTTTTAAATAGATTTTATTTAAAAACAGAAGACCTGTTGACTTGTCACGAAAATAGCACATACATAAATGGTCGTTTAATATTAATATTAATATCAAATAGTGTATATTATATAAAATAGGTTATTATCACCACAAAAAATAAAATTTCAGCAATGACTCAAAATGCCGCTGTCGAAAATCTTACTTTTAGTAGTAACATTGAATGTGATTTTTAGCGGCAACTTTGAAAAGTCACCGCTAAAAATCAATTTTTGAAACTATTTACATCATCTTGCTGGGATTCTTGTTAATTGAAGAGTATAGTGCGCTTAGATGTCCAGATATCCCAGCAAGTATATCCCCAGAGAACCTGCCCAAGTCTTTTGGATAAGACTCCCATTAAATTGTCTAGTATATTAATTATTACCGTACGTTTTACCTAGGTATCTTTGCTTAACGCACATTAATTAATGTAGGCGGAAAGATATTTTACCTAGGTATCTTTTATTAACCCACATTAATTGATGTAGGCGGAAAGATATTAAAATGGTCCTATAACAGGACTAGAGGTTGTTGAAAAAACAAAATTGATTAATCTGGATCCATTAATTAATTGAAGGTTTAGATGCCGACATTACATGCCAATCAAAGTTCTTTGGCCCCTTTACTTAATAATGGCAATTGATCTGAGTTATATGTGTTAGATATTTTTTCTTGTTATAAATATAGGTCACGTCTAATAGATATTTTACTGCACCAAGAAAAATGGCTAAGTTATTAAAATGATCTGCAGATGTGAGGAGTTTTCTAAGCTTATCCAATTAATTTGCGTTATCAGAAGAGCGCTACCCTGTCCAGCGGTGTGAAGATTTCTTTTATGTTTCATTATGTTGCATGAATCCTTTGACACCATTTATTTTGGCTAATATACAAGCGAAAACATGGTAACTATGAGTGGCTCTGGATCATTTTTCATTCTTGTGAACAAGAAGAGGAAAATCACTAAAAATGCAAAGGGAATTGCAAAATATACTGCACAATAGTGAGCAAGAAACTATAACTCAATATGAGGAACAGCACAGGGAGTCTAATGGGACCCCGCAAAGTGTTAACCACGATGGAGACTGATTGGAAGAAGATGAAGGGGTTGAAAATCATGGACGATAAAGCCAATAAAATGGCTGGACACTCCTGAAGGCGCTTTATGAGACCTTCTGATGATCTGTGATTCTTGCCATGGTCAAGGCAGCTCTAATCTATTTTACTGCTGCCATCTTTGTAAAAGGTTGATGGACGATTTGCCATAGCTTGATACGTCAATGTTATAATCAAGGTTGCTTCTACCAGTATTGCGTCCTGAAATAGATGCGATACATTGCTCTTCACTTTTTTAGATGCTTTAGTGTCATCACTTCCCTCTCCCTCAATGTTTATATGACCTTCCTCTTTTATTTCGTCACCCTTCTCATCATCTTCCTTCGGTATCTCTAATACCTGAGACTGTTCCTTTGCTGCTGCAAGGTGATAGGTGCTCTTGCCATTTTGGTCCTGTGCTTTCAACAGTGTCTGGAAATTTGGAAGCCTTTTGATCCTCTCCGCTAGCACTTTCACAGCTTCAAATTGGTTAGCCTTCACTGCTAAATGAAGAACAGTCTCTCCTTTTACTGTAACTTGTTCTAGGCACTGAGGATATACGCTGATTAACTCTTCCATCACCATGATCTTGCCTTTCTGTGATGCAAAGTGCAGGGAGTCCAGCCTTCTTCGTCCATCATCATCAAGATTTGCCTTCAACAGCTCCCTCACTGTCTCAACATGACCTTCAAAAGCAGCCAAGTGCAGTGGGATCATACCTTGTTTGTTTGTCTCTATGGCTAATGAAGGCATTCGAGTCACAATGTGGTTCACAAAATCTGTTTTCCCAGATCGTGCTGCGACATGAAGAGCTGAATCTGCAAAATGAAGTGAACATGATTTCTGCAGTATTTGAGGATCCTCCTTCAAGAGGTTGTGCAGTGTGGTAACATCTCCATATATTGCAGCTTTCACCTACCTCTGGTCCATGCCCTTTAATTTGCTGCACAAATAATCACACTTGTTGCTTTGTTTAATCTCCTGCCTCTGCTCCTCTGTATTTATAACTTGACAATGGCACCGCTTGTAAATTAGTCAAATCAGGTATTATGTTAAGAACCAGGAATAGTAACGTATTTCTTAAAATGTGGGATAAGACAAAGATTTCATTACATTATATGCTAAAGTAGATTCATTGGCTATGATCGTTCACGTTGTTGGAGTAGATGCATTGTCATCCATCCTTTGGCGTCATTTGTTTTTGCTAATATGGGAATTAAGAAAAGTGCAGTAACTAAACATGCATAGCGCATTGCAAAATAGAGGGTATTATAGTAGAAAGCAGTGAGCAAGGTACTATAACACAACATGTGGAGCAGCGTGAGCACTCACACAGGGAATACTCTTGGGCCCCACAAAGTGGTAACCACGACGTGGATTGATAGGAGGAAGATCATAGAGTTGAACAAGAAAGCCAGCAGAGCCGAACAGTCCTTCAGGTTTTTTAGGCTGCTTTGTGATCTTTGATTCCCTTCATGGGGAAGGCAGGCCAGTCTATTTTAGTGCTGCCATCCTTGAAAACGAGTGATGGAGGATTTGCCATGGCTTGGTATGTCAATGTTATGATCAAGGTGGCCACTACTATTATTGCATCCTCCTGCAGCAGCCATTCATTCGTCTCCTCTTTTTCAGAAGCTTCACTGCTACTCCCCTCCCCCTCCACGTTTATCCGACTTTCCTCTCTTATTCATCTCCCTCCTCCTCATCTTCCTTCAGTACCTCTACTACCTGCCACAGTTATTTTCCAATCAGCATAATAGTGAATGTCATGAATTCACAAGTGAAGTGTACATGGTTTATAGGTTCAAGGAACTCCCCCGTCTAATAGGCTAATTGTTTGGGATTAGGCTTTCCTTTAAACTTTTGTTGATGAGATGCACAAATTATACTTTTCTTAAAATATATATATATTGTCACGCCCCAAAAATTAAGGGGTAACCGGCACGAAATATTAGAACTCATATTCCTAAAGCCTTGAAACTTCTCAATAAGCATTCCATTTAATCATTGTAATACCAATCACAATATCCAGATTAATATAACAATCTTAAAAATGCATATACTATTTATAATTTACATAAATAAACATATATATAAATCTCCCAAAAGAAAATTAAAAATCTTGCCTATAGACTTCGTGGAGCACCTAAAGTAAGATTTACAAAATAGATATATACGAGTTTAAAGTCCCCCCCTACATTAAGTTAGGAATCTTGCAAAAGGACACTTCATCTATAACCAAGCAACACAGTCCTTCAATGATCAGCAAGAGGAACATGGCTATACTAACTGAAACCAAAATATTTTATTTCAATGAATAACATCTCATTTATAAAATATGATAAAACAAATAATGAAAGGAAACATCATGCAGATGCAGTCCTGTAAAATAAATGACTTATCAATACTTTAATTTCTGAAAGAAATCATTAAAATGTAAATATATATATATATATAACACTTTTAACATACAAAATTAACTAACCAACCTATTTATGAAAGCAAATCGTAAAATAGTGTGAAAAACCCTTTTTGGACTGAGGACTTCAACAGAACGAGCAACAAGTGTGGACACACAGTCCATGAGGGCAAGTAACCAACAAGTACGGCTAAAGCCACGAATACAAACGTGGGAACGATGCCCATAGATATCAAGCGAGCTCAAAATGACCATGGCGCACCATACAAGCGCAGCCAAAGCCACAAATAACAAGCACAATAGAAGCCACGAATATAAGCGCAGTAGAAGCCACGAATACAAGCGCAGCCGAAGCCACAGATAACAAGCGAGCTCGTTATTAACCATGGCATGCTAAGGACTAACAGTCTTGTTGTTAGCAACCAGCATTCTATGTACAGTCCTCACAAAAACATGTATAAGCATGCATCGGATCAATTTACCATAAAAAAAACAGAAGATATCATCTCTTTTTTTTTATAATGAAATCTCAGAGAATATTTTATAACAAATGATCCCAGCATGAAAGTTTGCAAATAATATTTTCAAAACTTTTCTTTCAAATGCTATCAATCAAAGAAAAAGAACTCCTTTCAGAAAACATTGTATAGGGACATTTTCAAAATATATAAACCATGTTTACCTAAAAGTTTCAAAGAATATCTCAAAAGCTTTTCTTGTCAATTCCAAGTTACTTGATGGAACAATTGGAACAAAATAATTAATAATGAATGAAGTATTCAATAAAATGATATTAGAAAACTTAATAGTTTAATTAATTAAAATATAACCTACCGTAGAGATGTTATTGTATCAATTATTATGGGATGCTATTCACGTACGTGTTGCACTCCAAAAGTAAAGTATAACTTACTTTTATTTATTTATGCAATATGATCAAATCTCCATACCCTCAAGCCCCGGACATAAAAATATCGATCTTTCAATTTATAATTTATATAAAATTCTCATAATATATCATTTAATAAGATTGTCCATTTTCATGTTGCATCTTATCCGTACCTCAGTTTATCTCAAAGCAAAAGCTATTTTCATTTCTTCCCATATATTATAAAACTAAATTCTTCTACAAAAAGTGTGTCTATTAATTCATGCTCATAACCTTATAATCAACATTTTATTGTTCTAACTTAAACTTATATCCTCTAAATTATTTATCAATAAATTCAAACAGTTTCAGCAAACACCACCATCTCTTAGGTATCTAAACAGTGGCATGACATTGACAACTAACAAACTTAGCAATTAAATTATAATTTAATTTCCTTCCTAACAGTAACATAAAACTCCATAACATCCAGATTTTCTATATAGAGGAGCAGCTCCTTAAACCGCATTACAAAAAAAAAAATCTCCAGATCGACGATATATGATGCTAAACCGAGACCGAGATAGAGAGAGAGGGCTGCCTGCCTGCCTGGCTTTTCGAGACAAAAGCACTCATAGGAATGGTGCTAATTCCTATGTTCCTTCTAGTCGTTTCTCGTTTGGTTTCGAGAGCCTCCCCCTCCCCGTCCCTTACTCATCTTTTGAATGAAAGCCGTCATCCTGGATTTTTTTTTGGGGCTACATAAATTATTAGAAAAATTTCCTCGGGTCTCTATAAATCTATAAAAATGAAAAGCCTGGATAGAAGCACAAACAAAAAGAGAGAGGAAAAGTAGAAAGGGAGGAGGAGACTAGCCTCAAGACTTCCCACTGGACGAGAGGTGCACCTAACCCACCTACCCACTCACTCATCCATCACTGTGTTCAGCTGACTTGCTTGCACCGAGAGACCCCTGTTGTATTGGAATTAGGCGCCCATCTTTTTTTTTTTTTTTTACTGTTGTCAACTAATCTCTTCAATGTTCGATTATACTCTGTTAGAACAGTTCTGTGAATGCTACTCTGATCTAAATGGTCCTATTCTGTGTCCTGTGCTAGGAAGCATTATTCCTCTTTTCATTCCAAATTCAAGAATACGACCGATACGATTGATTGGTCTGTGTGCCTCTCTTGTTACTCTTTTGTATTACCCTGTTCCTCGGATACAATTCGATCTTCTAAGGCCAAATCTCAATTTGTGGAAAGCCTTCGATGGCTTCCTTATGAAAACATCAATTTTTATTTGGGTATAGACGGTATCTCTTTATTCTTCGTGATATTGACCACATTTCTGATCCCTATTTGCATTTTAGTGGGTTGGTCTGGTATGAGAAGTTATGGGAAAGAGTATATTACAGCATCTCTAATTCGTGAATTTCTGATGATCGCCGTGTTCCGCATCCTGGATCTTCTACTATTCTATGTTCTTCCCGAAAGCGTGCTAATCCCTATGTTATGCGGAGCTGAGGATCTTCTATTTGCTGGGATAAAGCTTTTCCTCTGCAGGGGCCTTGTGCAGTAAACCCCCTACAGGCGGTCGTCCGTCGTCGTGAAGTAGTCCCCGCAAAGCTTTCGAGAAGAGGGGTAGTCTTGTGCGTAAGCATAGCATTTCTGGTCGAACCCGCCCAACCCAACTAAGATGAACCGAACCTGACAGACATATCTTTTTCCTTTTGTTTGGGATGGTACTCCGAGTAGTGGGTGCCTCGTAGGACCTCAACCCGCCTACTCGGGTCTTGTATGGATATGCAGGAAGGGGTGCTCCCAGGTGTGTGCAGGGGTTGTGTTTGGTCGCGAGAATGGATTCCTCGTCAAGGCTGTTTGGGGGGTGTGGACATACTTGCGTGAGTTCTGGTAACTGCTACAAGGGAGAAATCGAAAGGAAACTGTAGCCAACCAGGGATGGATGTAAACTCGTAAGCTACCGAGGGCAGGGATAATCATCCAGGTCTTATTGTGAAACAAAAAAGCTGCCCCGCCACAGCAGGCGGGTTGGTTCCTCTGTCGTGGCCGGGGACCTCTTAGTGAGGAGACCAACGGACAAGTTGCTAAAACAAAAGGGAGGGGAGGATCGACCCATTCAGTATAATTCCGAAGAAAGACTGTTGGCAGCAGGTGGAGACATTTCTTTGGCCCCCAGAAATGCGGTCAGGGTTAAGCTTGGTAGAGGGTTCGAGAATAGGGCAGGGTCCTTTCTTTAAGATTCAGATAAGAAAAGAGTTCCAAACCTTTATGCATGCACCTTCGTACTAAGGGTGTTCATGAAACCCAGTAATCCGGTATGTTTGTCCAAACCTATCAAAAAAATACTCAGCCCAGTCCAAAAAATATAGCCCAAAGAAAACAATAGACATTTTCGGGCTGGGCTATTCATGGGCAGGGCATGGGCATGGCATGCAGCCCTGCTCATTTGGCCCTGCCCGAAATATATATAATTATTTATATTATAATATATATTTTTTCCAGAATTATAATATATGTAAAGCAAATTTAAAATACTATATTTCATTATACTTTACTACACAAAATAGACATTACTCCCTTATATTATTAGATTTTATATTTTTAAAGTTCTAATTTAAAAAAAAACATACCACCTTTTTTAACTTTTTTAAATTATCTTGCTATGTACTATAATTATCTTTTAACTTTTATATGTTGATACTACTTCATATACTATGAAATGATACTAATTATACTAATTTGAATGTCACATCGATCTCTATAAATTATATTAAACTATAAGTTAATAATATAATTGAACATGTTAATATAGCTTGTATTTTTTATATGTTTTGTTATTTTCTCAACTTTGTGGAGGTTGATGTAAATCATTTGGACTTCAAGACTTTAATTACAATTCTTTTTATTGTCTTGTTTTTAATAAATTATGGATATTATTAAATTCTTAAAGCATGGATATCTGTTAAGACATACAATAGTTTCAAGACTCAAGTTATAAATTTGGATAAGTAAAGCTCGCCCTGTCCAGCCTGCAATAGCCCAGCCCAAAATAGCATGGGCTTCTACTGGACAGGACCAGGTACCGGACTGCATTTTGCATTCCATTCATTCTTCGGGCTGGGCATCGGGCAGCAGTCCTGCCCTGCCCAACCCTGTCCATGCACACCCCTACTTCGTACAAGTGCTGCATACAAGTCCCTGCCAGCATAATTGGGAAACAAAAACCAATTGGAGCCGCTCACATCACAGTAGTAGTAGCGTAAAGCCGTAAGTCGGGGGGCGGCCATAACATAAGGCTATTACTTTCACATCTCTCTCTCTATATCTACAGATAGAGAGAGAGATATATATATATGCTGCGTGAGCAACCCGACTGTGCGTCATATGTGCTCTACAGGCTGCACTCCATCTTTCTCCCAACGAGCCCTTTTTTTTAATTTGAAGACAGGCAGTTTGAAAGGCATGGTTTTCAGTATGTCTTCAGATAGGGCCCCCCACTAGTCCGGCTTGCTAGTGAGCGGTTCTTTCAGGCGAGAAGCGGGCCGGGCCTGTAGGGCGGGCATCTCCCGCAACGCAAGCTGCATTGTTCGCCCCCACCCGAGAAGCATCCCATGGAAACCAAATAAAAATCATAATCAATCCAAAATAATATCTAAATTACCCTCCACTATCAAAATAGCGTGTAATCATATGTCTAAATGAACCTTTGTCCTTTAAAGCAATTTATCGAACACCTTAGTGGATCTTAAAATCATTTCAATGGATCTTAAAATCATTTCATATAAAGCAAGCATCTTAATTCACAGGCCAATAACTGTAACTTCCCAGCACCCTTATAATCCGAGAAAATTTCCTTAAGCCCACTCTTTTATTGAGTTCGTAATGCCAATCACAATAAGTGGCGTTAAATCAATCTCATGCCTCATAAAATTTTACTGCAAAGTATTATAAAATACCTATTTATATAATCCATTTTCTCTTAGACATTCTAACAAACATATTGTGTGCAATCATAATCAAATGAGCTCATCAATCATCTCAGTCTACAATCTTTACTTGCCCAAGCTCCCATCGTCATCTCTTTCTACATCAGGCCACCCAACTCAACTCCAATTAGATAATGAAGCACAACACATTCCCAAACCCACCATGACAGTCACAAATTTGAGGGAGAGGAAAGAGTTTCCAACTCACCCAAAGAGAAAAGTTCTCTCCAGCATACGGGCAGAAGAGATAGACAAAACTCCCTTAATCAAGCACAGCAGCAGTAGAAGCCAAAACGAAAAGAAACCCAGAAGAACCAGAGGAGAAAAACAGGGGAAGAAAGAGAATTCGCACGATCAACAGCACCCCACTTCAATTCTACATCATACCGCAACCAGCAAAGAAGAATCAACCACGGATTGCTTCTCTCCCAGTGATGGCCAAGGAAAAACGTAGAGAACGAGTGGCAGTGGGGTTTCCACTCTCCAGACATCCTGAGACTTCTTCCTCCCTTCCGTAAACACGATCCCAATAGAATAAAAATCTATTTTCAGCAGGGCATTAAGGTAATTCGTAATGTGGAAAGGCAAAATGAAACTCAGATCTTGAAACAGGATGGATTCGTGCTCTGAACCTCCAGCACCTTTCATAGCTTCTAATACCACCAACCGCAAGTTTTTCTTTAACAAATTGCAATCAGTAATTAAAATATTAAATTATTAATGACCTTATATTTTCATACTTACTATTTTTGTTTCTATATTTATTATTTTCTTTCCAGGGCTATTACATACACACACACACCTGCAACTGTTTCTTTGCCGCTGCAAGTTGATAGGCACTCTTGCCTTTTTAGTCCTGGGCTTTAAACAATATGTGCAAATTGTGACGTTTGATGCTATCCGCTAGCACTTTCACAGCTTCAAATTGATTGGCCTTCACTGCTAAATGAAGAACAGTCTCTCCTTTTGCCGTCATTTGTTCCAGGCACTGAGGACATTCGCTGATTAACTCTCCATCACTCTGATTTTGCCTTTCTGTGATGCACAGTGCAATGGACTCCAGCCTTCATCGTCCTTCACAAGGCACTGGTTCACTCCATCATCATCATCAAGCTTTGCCTTCAACAGCTCCCTCACTGTCTCAACATGACCTTTGGAAGAAGCGAAGTGCAATGGGATCATACCTTTCTGGTTCGTCTTTGTGGCTAATGAAGGCATTCGGGTCACAATCTGCTCCACAAAATCTGCTTTTCTGTATAGCGCAGCAATGTGAAGTGGTGAATCTGCAAAATGAGATGAAAATGCTCTCTCCATTATTTCAGGATCTGCCTTCATTTGTGCAATGTGGTCAGATCTCCAACTCTCGCAGCTTTCACCAGCCTCTCATCCATGCCCTCTTACTTTTTCCTTTTAATCTACAACCACCGCTCTTCCTCGACTTATCTAAGTTGCTCTGCTATATTTATAACCTCACTATATGTTGTTGTTACTGTGTTAATTATTTATTCCTTTTAAGGATGCACTAATTGATTCATTCATTCATTTTTGCTATCTAACTCTCTCCATAAGGGCCTTTTCCCCCTTACTGACCGACTTTAACTTTTTCAAAAAGAGAAGACAATCAATGTTATGTTTCAATTAATAATTAACTAAATGTGAACTAACTTCAATCTTTATTATAAAAACTAGTTAACTAATTTGAACAGATTAAAAAAACTAATTAAATTAGTTATTTGTAATAAATATGTGTTATCTTTCTTAAAATATCCATGATAATCAAATGCATTGGATAGAACTACTATTATTACAAGAACTACTTAAAATAAATAAATATGAAAGATAAAGTATATTGTAGTCTTATATTTAAGATCAAAATAAAAATCAAATAAACTTTTATATTAAGAATCGGAGGGAGTATTACTTTTTGAAACTTCATCCATAAAACGACCTTATTCGTTCCGTAACATTTAGCAACTGACCGTTACGGTGGCTCATATCTTGAATAATTATATATATGAAAATCCTTGTGACTTTTTTTAATAGAAAATAAATGCGAATGCGTTGCATGGTAACAATAATCTTCATTTGCCAACTAGTGATGTGTTGGGTATTGACATGGCGTGAACTAATTGATTTCATTAGTCTGCTAAAGAACTTGGTTGAGCTGCAATCCATTAATTATATTGAAAATCAGAATAATAAATCTGATCTACTACGTGGCCCAAAATGTTAATTATAAGCATGAAGTATAGATCGCTTAACATATATTATTGAAAGTGTGCTATATTATCCAATAGTTATGCAGAGGTAAAAGAAATATTCATTTTTTTTTAAGGGTTAATATAAACTTTAGTCCCTCAAGTTTACATTTAATTTGATTTTAGTTCTTTAAATTTTAAATTATAAGTTTTGATCCTTTAAGTTTTTTTTTTTTTAATTTAGGGTTAAATACAAATTTTGGTCCTTTAAATTTGGGCCCAATTTGGCATTGGTCCCTGAAATTTAAAATGTGTAGTATTGGTCCTTCAAATTATGTCCATTTTAGACCGTTAGTCCCTAGCATCTTGGCACCATTAAATTTTGCTGACGCGGCATTAACACCGTTAACTGATGAGTTGGCATGTAGGTGGCATATGACTTAGACATGGTATTGGTCCCTCAAATTTAGGGCCATTTTGATATTGGTCCCTGAAATTTAAAACTGATAATATTGGTTCCTCAAATTATATATGTTTTTGGCCGTTGGCTCCTGATAGCTTGAAGCTGTCAAATTTGTCTGAGTTGGCACTAACTTTGTTAACCTATGATATGGCATTTGGCTTGGCAACTAAAGCTTGATGATGTGGCATGAGCAATGGAAGACTATGGTCGAAGATAACCTATGCAATCTGGGATTTACTTTTGTCAAAACACAAAGCTTCTGTTCCTATATTAGTGTGGAGGAAACACAGTGCATTCTCAGCTAAACCTTCTACCTCCTCTGTTACCTTTGGCCAAAAGGGTGACTTAACAGTTCATGAGAAGAATAAGCCAGTTTCAGATACAAAACCACCCCCAATAAAGCCATCTTCTTTTAATACAGACGATGATGAACCTCCCAAGAAAAAAGAGAAGCCCATCACCAGAGTAAGAAGCTTGAGAAGAAGTAACAAAAACCTCACCAGCAACTCCAACAAGAAGGTAGGCACGACCAGCCAGCCACCAGAGCCACCGAGACCAAATAAGAGCAAAGCAGAGGGTTCTACATGAACAGATAAAAAGAGGAGGGCCTAAAGCTATCAGCGACCAATGGCCAAAAACAAATATAATTTGAAGGACCAATACTATCAATTTTAAATTTCGGGGATCAATACCAAAATGGCCCCAAATTTGAGGGACCAATACCATATCCAGGTCATATGCCACCTACATGCCAACTCATTGATTAACGGTGTTAACACCACGTTAGCAAAATTTAACAGTGCCAAGATGCCAGGGACCAATGGTGTGAAACGAACATAATTTGAGGAACCAATACCACACGTTTTAAATTTCAGGGACCAATACCAAATTGGACTCAAATTTGAGGGATTAAAATTTGTATTAACCCTTTTATTTAAAACATTAGTTCCTATAACCCAATAAAAACTTGGATCATTTTATCCCTAGAAGGATCAAAAACTATAGTTTGAAATTTGGGGGACCAAAACCAAAATAAAGGCAAATTTGAGGAACTCAAAATGATATTAACCCCCTTTTTTTTTTAATCATGTACAGGCAATATAGAATCTTAATGACCATAAGATCGAAAGAGACAGACTTGATGAGATATTAAATGAAAGTGAGAGACGGACTTAAAAAATAGTTGGACACAAATAGATGAATGCTGATGCTCTATGATCTTGTATATTTGCCACCCACAAATTCATTTTTAGCTAGTCGGTGTAACTAGGCATGTGCTATTTTTAGAAAACGAGGTAAGGTAAGGGATAGAGACACAGAAAGTGAGAAACATTATGGTGAAATAACTTTGTATCATGTTGCTGGCTTTTAACAACTATGAGACGCATACCGCTATACGAAGTGCTTCAGCTGCCACTCTTTCCCTCACAAAGTGATAATCTAGGCCCGTGTGTTTTTCTCTAGAATGAAAAATGGGTTTGCAGCAAGATAAGTAGCTCCTAAATTGTCAGAGTAGAGCATGGGAGCTTGAGGGAGAGAGATGTGCAATTCTCCAACTAAATTCTGAATCCAAATGAATTCACCGGTGGCATTGTCAAGAGAACAGTACTCTGCTTCAGTATTGGACCGGGAAACGGTTGGCTGCTTCTTTGAACTCCAAGATATCACATTGGGACCAAAATAGACAATAAAACCAGCGGTGGATCGAGAATCTACTAGACAACCGCCCCAATCTGCATCAGAATAGACCTCCATAATGGGTAGAGTTTTAGATACAGCAGCGAAAAATAGGGAGAGGTTACTAGATCGTTTGAAATGTAACCCAAAGTGACAAGTGGCACAAAGATAATGGAGAATTCTCTTAACAGCAGTCCAGTGACGCTCTTTGGGTTGGTGCAAAAATTGACACACACGGTTTACAGCATGAGAGAGATCAGGGCAAGTGAAAGACAAATATTGGAAACTACCCACTGTGCTGAGGTAAAACGTTGGATCAGGAAAATCAGGGCTAGTAGCATGAGCTTTGGTATTGAATACCATAGGAGAAGTCATGGGATGAGCATTGACCATATTAGCACGCTTCAAGTGGTCAAGAATTCTTTTATTGAATCATTCTCTTCGCATTCAGTACAGAGTTAATGCTCATATGCAAAAAACACACACACAAATCCCATGAAAGCAACAAGCATACTTAAGATATGGGTACAAAGAAAGATTTGAGCATGTTACATGCATCCTCTGATGCCATTTATTTTCGCTAATATGCAAGCGAAACATGGTAATTATGAGTGGTTCTGGGTTATTTTTCATTCTTGTGAATAAGAAGAGGAAAATCACTGAAAATACAAAGGGAATTGCAAAATATACCGCATAATAGTAGAAAGCCGTGAGCAAGAAACTATAACACAATATGAGGAACAACATAAGAAGTCGCACAGGGAGTCTAATGGGACCCTGCAAAGTGTTAACCACGATGAAGATTGATGGGAAGAAGATCAAGGTGTTGAAAATCATGAACAATAAAGCCAAAACGGCTGGACGCTGCTTGAGAAATTTTAAGAGGCCTTCTGATGATCTGTGATTCTCGTTGCGGCGAAGGCAGCCCCGGTCTATTATAGTGTTACCATCTTTGTAAAAGGTTGATGGAGGACTTGCCAAAGCTTGGTATGTCAATGTTATAATCAAGGTGGCCGCTACTAGTACCACCAACATAAATAGTCAAACATGTATATTGATGAATGCACAATTATATACTACCTCTCATCCTTAATATAACAGCAAGATAAACTGATTGAGGAGATTAAAGAAATTAGTTAAGTTGATTATTTATAACAAGTGGGTTTACTTCCCTACACTATCATTTTTAATCATGTGTAATGGAAGTAACTCTTGGTAAGAGTTTTTTATAATCAATAAGGATATTTTGGAGAAAAGGTTTATAAATTAAGAGATAAAATGAATTGAAATCTTATATTTAAGACAAAATTCAGCCACCTACTAACTCTTATGTTAAGGACTGGAGGTAATATTTCTTAATACACATATATATACACATACCTTCAATTGTCTCTTTCCCTTTTTAGTCCTACCTTCCTAGGCTTTAAGCACAGTGTGCAAATTGTGATGTTTGATGCTGTCAGTTGGCACTTACACATCTTCAAATCGATTAGCCTTCACTGCCTAATTAAGAACAATCTCTCCTTTTGCTGTAACTTGTTCCAAGCACTGAGGACATGCGCTCATTAATTCTTCCATCACCCTCATTTTGCCTTTCTGTGATGCACAGTGCAGTAGAGTTCAGCCTTCTTCGTCCTTCACAAGGCACTGATTCACTCTGTCATCACCAAGTTTTGCCTTCAAAAGCTTCCTCTCTGTCTCAACATGACCTTCTAAAGAAGCCAGGTGTGGTGAGATCATACCTTGCTGGTTTGTCTTCTGTGGCTAATAATGGCATTTGAGTCACAATGTGGACATGTGGTTAAGTGAATCTGCTTTCCCGACAGTACTGCAACATGAATCTGCAAAATGAACTGAACATGCTTTCTCTAGTATTTGAGGATCCTCCTTCAATAGGTTGTGCAGTGTGTTATCATCTCCACCTCCTTCAATAAAATTTTCTTTGCTAGATCATTTGGTGAGAAATCTGATAGTTTAGTTAAATTGGTAAGAAGTAG